ATTCGAGCCATGCTAACCTTCTTTAGAAAATCTACTGCCCATTAATAAAAAAAAATATTTCAACCCGTCTCTTCGAAAGGTCCCCGCGATGTGATCCCCACGATGAAAGAATTACACTGATAATAAGAGTAAATTACAGTGCAGTTTGTTTAAATTATATCTTTATGATTCAAACCTAGTTAACAAATTGATTTAAGAAAAAGAATAAGAGAGTTGAGTCAATGAATTGAGACTTCACATCTCAAAGGACACAAGCATTACTGCGGCTCGTTTTAATGCCGTGCAACACAAGTTGCTTACTATCCAAATCCCTTAAATGATAAACATAACAATATCTATATTTATGGAAAGGCAAAAATTGAGTTAAACTCAAAAGACTGAAACGAAGCAAGTTGAGAAATGTGCCTAGTAATTTTCAGAAGTACGTATACAACATTTGTGAACACGTCGCACATGGCACGTACACCCTAATTAGGATTCGCTGCGCGTGCGCAGATGTGAGTTGCGTCATTTTTGGGAGCAGACCGTCCGCGTCGCTCGCCACAACGCGTCAGCGATATAGGCTCGCGTCAGTTTTCTATTTTCTTAGAAAAGGCTCACCGCGCTACACGCGTGAGTAAGTACTTGCGTGCGCCTAAAAACCCATTGGCATCGTATCAGACAGGACGACTACGACGGAGGGAGCCACTAATCCATCCATAATAAACCTTATTCTTTGAGTCGTTTTCTAATCAATACAAGTATAAACAAACAGATAGATCTGCTGCCGAACCACACACCAACAAAAAGACATGCATAAAATGGAGTTTACGTTGGTATCGCGACATTTCGTTAATGTTATAAGAGCAGGTAGTGGGTTTTACTACTCGATTGCTCACGTACAGACGACGCAGATACAACTCGATGAGATCGCAGGTGAGTTCCCGAGTACTTGCATGTCGCGTTGTCGTTGACTTATGCGAGTATTTGTCATGTAGATCGGGTACGGCGTAAGAGCCGTAAGGTTAGCGATGCACTGAGGCGAATTAACTGGCGATTACGAATGTGAGAGACGTGGAAAAACCGTAATATAAATATATAGGTAATTATTAAAATTTATTTAGTCACTACGATACGCATATTATGCTCCGAGACTGACCGACTTTAACCCTTGCTTCATTTAAAGAAAGCTTTAACGGCCACGATTTAACGTATTATTGGTTGATTTAAATATAAACTTGTAACTCATCTTATCGTCCTAAATTCCTCATCGTGTGATGATTTATTGATGAAGATGACTACTATAACAATTACGCAAAAAAGTGTTTCGGACTGCAATAATCATTATTAATTTTTTCAATACAATTGTTATATTTTGAGGGCCTAAATTAAGCTTTGTAATAATATAATGAACAGCGTAATTTCAAGAAGCACTTCACTACTACTTCGCCTATTCACTTCATCAATGTCGTATAGACGAAGCAGCGATAGAAATTGCCATGTTTGTATGCGGTAGCGCAAATCATTTTGTATCCATTGTGATATTTAGCAAGACGGGCTAGCTTGTGTAACGGTAGCAATGTGGGGCTAATAATCGTCGGTCGTGGGTTCGATCCCCACTAGGCCCGACATTTATCGGAACACGTTGGACTTCGTCCATCTGGCCTCTTCGAGCATTAAAAACAAATAAATAAAACAATTCGCGCGAATTTTTCTCTAACTATTCCAAAATATACAACGTTATTATTAACAATTTCCACTTTTAATTTGTGCGTGCACTACCGGAGACCTGTATTTCAAACGTATTTTAATTTCCAAAACCATCTCGTGTGTGCACCTGCTTGCACATGGACGCGCATAGAATTGTAAATATCTGTTCTAAGTTTAATCCCATAAACCTATTCTTATGTAAATATTCTACCGTAGGGTAGAACAATTTCTTTTCTAACAAAGAAAACTAAAAAATTATGCCGCCGTCTACTATTATATCATAAAATGAAAATCGATATTAATAATAATCGTAGATGGTAGATGAGCTATGTTAGCGGTTTGTACAGTACGTGAATCAAATAATGGTACAGTAGATGGGCAGAACGGCTCGATTTTGCGGTCGATGATGCACGCGCTCGAGTCGCCGAGCGCTTAATTACTTTAATCGGTACTTAGAACTAGTTTTACTTCAGCTCGTAGGTTGCCTCCATTTAGCTTGAATTAGCCAAGAGAGGAGTTCGCATCGACTGCAACGATCGACGGCCTTGACATCGTCAGCGAATCGTCCGCACGAGCCGAATAATTGCCGTTTAGTTGATGTTTTCCTCGTCAAATTCTTGTTATTGTTATTGTGAGCGGTCTCGCTTTGTACGTCGGCACAAAAAATACTCCTTCATATTCTATCGCTCGGATGGAGTTAACTATACCACAGTCGATTCGTATATAGTTTCACGAGTTCATTGGTTCCAGCGTATTTTTTAAAATCTGCTTCATCTATACTAATATATAAAGCTGAAGAGCTTGTTAGTTTGTTTGAACGCGCTAATCTCAGGAACTAAAAAAAATAATTTTCTGTTGGTTAGAACGTTTATCGAGGAGGCTAAAACATTGCGCTGTGACTAATAGAAGCGAAGATACAGCGGTAAATGTGAACAAAACGGGGGAAATTTTTCATCACTGTGGGTTTCAGATGCTTACGCTGCGAAAACGGGTTAAAACACCCAAACAATATGTATGAAAGAATGATTTCTCTTTAAATAATCTAAAAAAATGTCCGCGACCCTATATGCCTATATTTTCAAATTAACTTGCAAGAACGACGGGACCCGAACGACGGGTCGTGAGTGACGGGACGCGACCGACGTCGTGGGCCGCTTAAATGTATAAAGATGTAGGTGTTTGCAAAAACAAATTTGGATGCCCAAAATAACTATTCTACGCTACCGAAGTCGTTGACGCAGCTAGTTTTGAATAAAGGTCGACATTGCCGCCGGGCCGCGACGAAACCACATATAAAGAAGCCGCGAAGGGTAAACTTGAGTTTCCACTTTTATCTGTGGGTTTCCAAATGTGCAAAGCCAAAATAATGAATGGCTCATCTGGCGCGCTTAGATGTTATAGGTGAACATGTTATGATGATTACAGTTAACGAGACTAGTTAAATAAATGATTTCCTACATAAACCGGTTGTGAAGTAGGAATCCGTCAATCTCGTTTAACTGCGGTGACCTTAAACTCGCTCCGCACGAACGAAACGTTGCAAGGTGTGTTAGTAGATACCGATAGTGGGTGTAGACCGACCGATATTAATAAGACGAGTGGCACGCTTCATACAGTGGAAATTCGTTTTCGAACAATGTCGTTCGCATAATCGTAGATCGCCAACCGTGACGCAGGCGGCGCCGCGCCGTCTGCGTGACGGACGGCGAAGCGAGATACCTGCCCGCGGACGAGTCGCGATCTCAGCTAATATTACTAACGAATGGACCCGTTGTGAATGCACAATAAATCAACTTGCTAATCTGGATTCTTCTGATGATCACAAAATGTATCATTGTGTTTTCCGTGGTCACTGATATTCCATAAACGTAATCGATTGTAACTTTCGAGGGCAGCCCGACGGCGGTTGTGTATTTGATCCCCGGTTCCGAAGAACATTGACTTATTTGTACGCCGCACGGTCTTCGCATTCGCTTACATATCATTTCATAACATCAAGAAATTCAGTAGCGTTTCCCAGTGAATCATCGTAGCCTTGACGTGTCGCACGAAACTGCGTTCGGCGATTCGGTCGCTTTGGGCAAATTGTGTGCTGCATCGGCGATTAATATGGTCCGATAGTGCTGCGCAAGCGAATCGGAAGACGTCGCCCCGCCATCCTGGTTCTCACATTTCGTATAGGCACAATGGCATACAAAAACGGCCGCGTACACCTCACGCGATATCTTGACGAACAACTGACGCAATAATGATTTTACGACGTACAAACAATGAAAGTTAATATTATGATGGTATAATGTCATTTCTAACGCTTTAAAAACAATCGACTAAAAAAGCAAATTTCGATACAGTATTGCATAGTATTGCCAGTTACCCGCCGACAGTCCTCAGCTGAAATCGAATGCGTCAATGTGTGAGGATTCCCGCTTACTCACTGCCCACTGCACATATTTGATATTACGTCCTCTAAGCACACATCCCACGAACCGAGCGCGTGCGCACTATGCGCCTACGAGTTTCAGTGCTTTTTGTAATGAAGACATTCAAGATCTCCGAAACCTTGTACGAACCCGAAATTTGTACAAATATTTAGGTTAACGTTGAATATTGTTTATGAGGTCACGGTGTCATAAGATAATGTATGTAATCGCTAATTATTAACCACAAGCCTTTACAGACGTTGAGTTTTGAGCAGAAAAGGAGGGACGCAATAGGAAAACCGAAGCCGCAAACTAATAGCCGAGTGTAGTGAATTTAGAGCACGATAGAGTGAGGGGCGGTCGAAGGGATTCAGTCAGCTATCTAGCGAGATTAATCTCTGAATTATTGTAAATCTCTTATTTAGAAAAAGACGAGACACGTACGCCGTTATCAGATAAAGCGGCGAATTATCCAAAAGTACGCTAAAACGATTCGGAAAAACCTCATATAAAATAATATAACATTATCACCTCTAGTCTGGGAAAATCCTTTAATAATTTTAATTGGGCGCCAGGTGAGCACCAATATTTGACTGCAGAGAGATAAGACGAAATATGCGTTCGTCGCTTAATAACGAGACATTTAATTTCTGGCATTTGCTCTGGATTCTTCTAGCGGCCTTAAAACTGTTGGCATGAGATGTAAAAAGCCTCATCTTGAAAGATTGACAAAAATATGAAACAATTATACGACACTTCAAAATGATAAAAGGTTTCGACCCAACGAAACCATATTATACTTCGCTGTCTATTTATCTGTCTACCTGTCTCGCCTGTCTGAAGAACTATTACAATATTATGAAATTCAAGCTAACTACAATAACATAACAATTATCGAATTGGACTCTTGTCGTGGAATGCGTTCGTCGATAAATCTTGCGATGAGTCAATGCGAATCGAAGCGCGCTCATCGGACATTCGCGGTGCTTGGGGTCGCCTTTTGACGCACGCCTTTCTATGGAAATCGCACTCAACCATCGGCAAAGGGTCCGCTACAGATAGAACTAACTTGCGAGCGAATTGCGATTGACCCTCGGAAGCAACACGACGCACTGACCCGACCTCTCGCCGAGTTCTGAAGTGAGGGCGCGCCGTTCCGGACGTGCCGATCATAGATGCACTTCGGGCGGACGGCTCACATCGCCGGCCTCGTACGGTAAAGCCGAAGCGAAAAGCACGGAGTCCGCAATGGACGGGGGGCGACGTCGAAGGCTGTCTCCGAGCGCGGGAGCGTGACGCACCGGATGCGGCCGCATTCCTTACGGTTCTACACAAATAAACGAAGGGGATGCCTCTCGCATGATATGCACGACGCTATGACCTCTTTAGATACTTTCATTTCACGAGGGGTTCTTATCAGAATTCGCACGTCGACAAACTCGACGGCGTTTGCGCTCGTTGGCCGGTCCGAGGTGCGTCGCGACTTGCGACTTACAATTCAGATATATTAGTCACAGTCGTGGTTAATCGGTCACACACGAAAATACACCGTTCGAAAGAGAAACAAAGGGATAACGCGCCGTGACCGGCGAAGAGGGCCGACAGAATCGGGCACAATGGTGGATAGAAAGGCTCGGAAGCCGCCCGAGGGTACGTGACCGTACGCACGACGCCGCTCTCTCCTTCCGCACGCATCGAACAGAATCCGAGCTCGCATCGAACCCGTTGGTCTATCCGGGAGATAATTCACACCGCCCTATAACGCAGAGGCCACCTGAGACGAGGCGGCGGCAGGTCTGCGACGCTGCGGTCGCATGCAAATCGATGCAGATACGCGCGACAGTGAAGCGGTGAGTCAGCTGTCGAAATGCCTCTTTAGTTACAAGAGCACGTACGGTTTCAACATAAATATTATTATTGACAATCTATTAGTGACAAAGTATGGATGCATCGGCTCGAAAGGTGCCGGCCTTTGGAGCCGCATGAGTAGTTAAAAATAATATACATTTAAATGTTCAATTGTGGCATCGGTGCGTCAGAAGACGTCGTACCCGAGTGGGAGATGATTGCAGGAATCGATTAACCTGCCCTTATAAGGGTGAAAGGGGTGATATTAGTCACTAAACGGCGACGAGCGAAGTCGAGCGACAACGACTTGACGACTTAATAATGTAAATACTGAAAACGATATAAAAATTACCGAATCATATAAAATAAAATAATTTATTCCACATATAATTAACTTCATACACAAAAAAAAAAAGTTTTGTTCTAAGTACCTATTTGGAAGTAAGCACAACTGTATTTATGTATAATAATACTCAAACTGGAACACCCAGCTCACGCTTGCAAATTCGGTATTTAGCTATAAAGACGTTATACGCTAACTTTGTAAGCGACACACAAGATTGTGCATTCAAAATTGTAAAACACCGAGAAAAACCACAAAGTTAATTGGGTATAAATAATGAAGAGGCGATCTCGCGTAAATTCCGCCGATTTCACCCTCGCCATTGTTCGCGCCCTGGCCATTGTCCTATCGTCGCGACAACAATCGGGCTTTTACTGTAATTACCCGATTGGATTCTGATCTTTGTTTAATCACACGATTGGACATGCACGTCGTCGCTACCCAGACTGGCTACTCCTTCTCGGGACGGCGGCATTTTTATGTTTGTCTACTTTGCTAGTGTAGCTAACAGAGTTAGCATAGTCGTACCGTGCTTATGAAACCGCATACGTGAAACTGACCTATCGTGAAGGGCTTATTCTGCGAGCGTCTTTAGCACCATTGCAGACTACTTACAACATGGATTTTGACTACGTCCATCACTGGCAAGATACCGCTAATAAGGATAAGTCGAACAACATCTAAAACGGATTATTATTACGATATATTAAACGCCACGTCAATTTTTTCCTTAACCTTACGCAATATTAAACCTGTGTCTCATAAAATGACGTCTGCAGGATACCTACAGATGTAAAGCCGAGAAAAGAAGTATAATGAGGAAACAGTAATGATAGTTTAAATATGATATCGCTAATAACTGTTACAAGTAGTCAGTGTACTACTGTACTGTTACAAGGCGTCAGGGTAGGATGTCCGATGCGCCGAATAAAAGGGCGCCAGACGCCTTGATATCCTACCGTCAAACTGTGCTGAGAATTTGTCCAACTTACGTGGTCGGTTGGTATATTTTAATTTTCGACTAAAACATAATGTAAAATATTTCAATGTAAATAACAATAATTGTATATTGTACATTATATACTCATTTATGGTGTATAATTTAGCATTAACTAGTTTTAGAAAGAAATGACCTTGCATTATGAAATATCACGTACCGCCATCTTGTAGTTGTAGAAGGCATTGTTTTAAAGAGCATGTAACTAAAACAATATTGTATCATAATCTTTTTTTTATATTAAATAAAACACGCTTAATAAACATATAAATATGAAATAATTATTTCGCCTCACTTTGACAATTGACTATATTTATTACTACAAATGTATAACAATCGAAATCGATGATATTATGATATCTGTTGTAGGTATGCGATGTATATTACAAAGAAGGAAAATGGCAAAAACGTCAATACACACGTTCAGCAAAGCATAATTCATAATATAAGTACTGTAATACTGGACTACGAACACTGCTAAAGTCGTGTGTTTTTTGTATCGTAGGTGAGAATAAAGAGCACAAATTGTTCATTTTTCACTTTTCAATAAAAGGATCGGGTATAAAAATTTACGTCACCACGTAGCACGCTGATTATAGAAAAAGCACGAGACTCACGAAAACGATTACTAACAAAGTAGTTTCTCTAATACGTGGTCACAATTGTTCACGAGATCATTGTAAATGATGATTATAGATATAACTCATCACAAACCTCCAATAACATTGGCAATCATATTAATACATAAACATTGCACAACCGAGTGGCACCAAAGAGAGTCTTACAACTTGAGCTGGCCAATTTCGGCCGTAATATTGCGAAAAAACGATCCAAGAAAGACATAACTACCCCCGAAAACATTGTTGTTTTATTCCGTGCAATAATAATGTTTGACAGATCTACATATATAGCTAGTGGTCTGTGGTATTTCTCTTTGTGGGCCTTCTTTATGATCATCGATTTAAAACTACACTGTATCTGTGTTCTCTTTGTCATCTATACTCTATAGTACTGTATGGAACCTTAGGCGATCAGCTGTCAACATTTCTGATCCAAATAATTTTATGATATTGCAAAATTATACACAATATACTTACGTGAAAATTTAAACCATCACTAAATACAATGGCAAAGAAGACTTATGACTTACTTTTCAAACTTCTATTGATTGGAGATTCTGGTGTGGGCAAAACATGTATATTGTTCAGGTTTTCTGATAACCATTTCACAACTACATTTATATCCACTATTGGTATGTAATGCTATTTTTCTAGTTGTAGTAAACAGAGGTAATTAAGGTTAAGAATAAATTGTAGTAACAACTGGCTTACCGTGGGCTTGCATGGTATCTGATTACAAACATGGCAAGGGCAAAGTTGCATACGTTTTATTTCGTCTATATAAAGCTATTAATGCTTTACAGGAATAGATTTTAAAATAAAAACTGTAGAGCTTAGAGGTAAGAAGATAAAGCTGCAAATCTGGGACACAGCTGGACAAGAAAGGTTCCACACAATTACAACGTCCTACTACCGCGGGGCGATGGGGATAATGTTAGTATATGATATAACAAATGAGAAGACCTTTGATGATATTGTGAAGTGGCTAAGGAACATAGACGAGGTATGGTGTTTTATCAAATACCTATAATACGTACATATAATATAAAGTATTATCTAAAATATACCTTTCAGCATGCTAATGAAGATGTGGAGAAAATGATCCTCGGCAATAAGTGTGATATGGAGGAGAAGAGAGTAGTCAGTAAAGAGCGTGGGGAAGCAGTAAGTTCACATTACATTACATTGAAGGTTACGGTCTAATTACAGTTGATATTACCAAGGCCTCTTCTGTGAATCAATTGATAATATTATGTTAAATGTTCTTTATAGCATCTAAAATTGATTTGATAATTGTTGGCAGTTTAGTGTAGCTTGTGGCTATTAATTTTCCTTGTAACATTGTTTTGTTTCTTACAGATAGCTCATGAACACGGTATCAGATTCATGGAGACATCTGCCAAATCCAATATAAACATCGAGCGCGCCTTCTCTGAGTTAGCGGAAGCCATCCTCGACAAGACAGCAGGTCGAGAAGCAGATGCGGACCACGCTCGTATCGCGGTCGAAAGACGCCCTTCCCGCGCACCTCCCGCCCGAGCTTGTTGCGCCTAGGCCTCGTTCCTCCGCTTCGCAGCCAGTGCGCCTGTATTAATACCTCATACACCCAAAATATAGCAACTCACTACTATAAACCATTTAATGATATAATATATATATATAGGTATAATCGGTAATAAAATGGATACTACTATATGTGCATTAGAATGTCAACTAACTGTTTTACAATCTTGCTTCCGAGATCGCCTATTAATACCGGCGCCCAGAAGGCTGGGAAAGGGATGTCGGATTTTTTTTTGATTTTAGTACTTTAATTAAGCACATAAGTTAGTTTCAGTGAAAACAGTTATCGTTGTAATCTCCTGGTAGAAGTATTTTCTGGTTGGTTTCTACTGTTTCATGTGAATATTGCTAAGATGAGTATCTGTTGGGTAATTTTCTGTTTGATAAACGGTAAGTGCCTCTGCACTTATTGTCTAATCTGATGAGTTTTCTAAAAGCGGGTGTTGTATGAACTCACTATCGGTGCGCTTAAGAGTAAAAAATAACGTGTTCATGGCCAGCTGAAGGCAGCACTTAACTTGCCTTAAAGCTTAGGTCATTTTTAGTATAATGCTATTCCCATTTGGCCTATAAATTTTGTGCTGCAGGTTGGAAACGTGTAGGACATATACATACAGTAGAAGCTTCATTAATTTGTAATTACCATGATAAGAGATTCAGTTATATTATTCTAGTCCCGCGCTTGAAATATATATAGACGTGTGTTGAGCGACCAGTTGACACTTAAACTTGTCTCGGCGAAGCTATTAGTAGTACATTCCCATTCGTCTACAGGTTTACATTCAAAAGGAAATAATACGCCGAGAATCGAAGTGTCGTTTAAAGTTACTTCATTTTATCACTGCATACTGTATAAGGATTACAATCAACCTCCAGCTGAAGCGGTACTTGGTCAGATAGGTGGATTGAATAAAATGCAGTAAAGCAGTGAATCGGTAGCGTAGGTTTGGATTCGATTAACTACTGAGTAAATATAATGGTATTTAATAGTAAGGTGTACGTGTCTCGTCGGTTTTTACCCGCTTTTTATAAATAAACGGCATTTTATTATGTTCATAATAAATAATCTATCTTTATTTTGTTTTATTTATTCGTCGATGACCCCCACATATTATATGTACACGATAACTGGAATAATGGAACGAGGCGACGTTTCGACGAAAGGGCGGGAGGTTATCGCCTCGGCTCGCCGCTACGCCTCCAACCTCACTGCTTCTTCGCCGCTCGACGACATGATACGAGCGTTGCTGCTGATTTCTCTCTTCCGGAACGGTCTTCTCACCGATCGTAAGTAGTTCGCGTTCATGTCATGCGTGCGACGGAAGTCACTCTGGCGTTAAACGCAATTTAATTCTAAATTCCAGCGCCATGCGAGATAGACTTCGACTGCGCCGAATGCATCCCGGACGACATGCCCCTAGTGATGTCACAGCGCGCCGCCAACGGATCGCTTTCAGTTTCCTCCGGCGACGAGATGACCCTGTCGTGCGGTGAGGGCCGTCTGATCGCCTATCCCCTGCTGAGCGCGCTCACCGTGCTCTGCGAAGCAGGACGATACCGCGTGCGACAGGACAACTCGCTCAGGACGCTGCTCGAGCTCGGGTGCCAGGCAAGCGTCTTCGAAGACGTGTTGCACGCGGTGAGTGACGGCGATCGAGTTAGGGCTTCCGGCGAGTAGTTCACCTGTAGTGACGAATCGTAAACCGCAGGTGGAGCACTGCGCGGCGCCGCTTCAAGGGCGAGCGTATCAGACGGTGGAGCCGCAAGGTAACGCCCGCCACGTCGCCACCGTGTGCTTCGACGAGGACCGCGGCTCGCCCATCGCGGCGCACATGGTAAGCGCGCCGGCCGACAGGCTGCGGCTGCCGCCGCACTCCGACCGCCGGGCGCCGCTTACTCTGCTCGGCAACTTCAATCACATGTTCGACAGCAACACGCGCCATCAGGCCGAGAAACTGTTCTCGTCGGACGCGCGCCTGAACCGGCATCTCCGCGAGATTTTCAAGCACGAGCGCTTCACTTTCGCCGACCAGACCCTGACGGGCGCCAAGCTACTCGACGGACGCTACTTCGACGATCAAGACTGGCGCGTCGCGGAATTCGTGTCGAACCGAGTGCTCGCGTGGGGCAGCGTGGCGAAAGGCAACCTCGCGCACGTGCAGCGGGACGTCGCAGAGCTCGTGAGGCGGGCTCGGCCCCGGGGCACGCTCGACGTGTACGCGGGCACCCACGGAGTGATGTCCTTGCGAGCGGGCGGGGGCCGGCGCGACGTCCGCTTGAAGCCGCAGCGGTTCCCAGTGCCACAGTACGTGTGGACCGTGGTGCACGAGAGGAGCGAGCGGAAGGCGCTGGCCCTAATCGTACTCAACGATCCTTTCATCGCGGTGAGCGAGATACGCGAGAGGGTGTTCTGCGAGAGCGCGTGCGGACGCGTGTCTTGGCTGCACGAGACGCGGCGCTACCGCAACTACGAGGCGCCCCTCTACGGCCTCACCTTCTGCTGCCACGTCCGCAACTTCACCGGCCGTGTCCACGAAATGCCTGAGAAAATAGTGCGCGACGTGCCCGAGGGCGATGACGGATTGCTCACTTTTCTGATATAAATCGGTTTATTTAACAAAATCAAAGTGTAAGTGTGTAAAAAAAAAGTAAGTAGTGTAAGGCTTTATTAAAAGAATTTATATTTAAAACTTGACAACAATATTATTCCTTCAGTCCTTTTCCGAGATAGCTGTTAGATGTCTATCTATCTCATTTTCTGCCAGAACCCTGCAAAAGCGACACAATTTTTAATTTTTGTTTACAGCTTCTTATCTATATTAATATTATAAATGCGAAAGTAACTCTGTTTATCTGTCTGTCCGGCTTTAACTCCGAAACTACTGAATTGATTTAAAATGAGTGGAGTGCGGCCATTCGGCTGTCTGTCCGCTGGCGAAGTGTGGCAGCATCGTCTTCCGCAGTCTCGCGGCACCCCTTCCCTTATGGTGACAAGGGCGGGCGACGGCCTTTGGTCCGTGACCACCAGGGTGTGTTAGCGTAGCGTTTAGGCCTAGGAGGCAAGGCTAGCTCGCTTCCACATTGGAGCTACCGCTTGAGCACTCGTTAGACGCTTAATACTGAGCCTTACACAGGGAGCCATTTTCCAACGGTAAAGAAAAAGGGAATTAAAGTTCGTAAGGAAATTCGTGGTTTTTGAAGCTAAAACAATGAAACTTTCTTCTCTGGATTTTTGGAAATAGGAGTGGGAGTGAGTGTAGGAATGAGAGTGGGAGTAGTAGGAGTGATGTGAGGTGAGAGTGTTGCGGCAAAGTAGCACTTACAACATAGTTTGGCTGCCTTAAATGCGCCCTTACCTAAATTAATAAACAGCCTAAATAATTTAAAATCTACATCAAGTCACTATTCCACGCGGACGAAGTCGCGGACACAGCTAGTTTGTAATAAAACTAAAATTTATGTGAGAATTAAAGTTCTGTGAAATAATCTTTGTGTACTTACTTAAACTTGGGATCTTCCTTGGTGACAATGCCCACTTCGATCTCGGAGCTCTTGAAATCGACGGACAACACGTGCGAAAGACACGAGATGGCGAGTTGCACCGCGTCGTCGGTGGAGAGGTCCGCACGTTTTTTTAGTTTCTTTTCGAGGTAGGCATTAGCGTCCGTGGCCTTGGCCCCGGCGGCTACCGCCGCATATGAGCAGTAGTACCCCGACGGATCTGTTTTGTACACGCTTGCACCGCTCTCGTCGTCATACGCTATTAACATCATGCCTGCAATCATTACGAAACATTTAACTACACACAGAATAATTACTACCTTCTACTTGTAACAAATTCAACTGATGAGCACAAGCAATCTCTAATTTCACCATCGGGGTTTAGACATTATAATTTAGTATTTTTTCTAACTTGACTTTTTTGGTACACAGTGCACATGAAATCATGATTTGCACTAAAATCTATTTAATGCTTGTGAGAAACAACAACACTTTGTGAAATTACAGCAAAATTAACCCAATTAGAATTTCTTTAGTTTGACTTTTACATCGCTGAAAAATGTTAGAAACATCTAGTTAAGACATAATGACAAAATATTTTTCATTGAGGTCATTCAGTCCATATATAATCAATATTTCTTTAGCCCTGTGTCAACTGTGGTATCAACTTCTCTATAAAAGGTCATCATTGATTCTCTACGGTTTAAAATCAGCCATATTTGTTGTGGTCTTTTGTCAACTTAGAAAAAATAGAATATATACAAAACCAAACTAATTTAAAGCTTATTTGTAATCACTGTTGCTGTCACCTAATAGAACAAATTACAAATACAAGTGAAATGCCACTCACTACAACCGAGAGGTCTCATCTCAGCATTTTGAGTGTAAACCTGAGATATATCTGCAATGCGGCGGCAAAGGATGTGGACTGGGATCTCTGTACCATACTTGTATTGCCAGTTGGCTGCCTCATAACGAGCTCGCTGTACTTGAGATTTACTGTCCGCTGTAAATGTAAAACGATAATGGCTGTATAGTAACTAGATTTACAATTTATATGTTATTTAGGCTTTAATCTTTTTTTACTGAGGAATTGAACATTTCCTCAAAATACTTTTATTAATAATTTTAATTTTATTGGCCAAATAAAACAATGACAAAACACATGCAACTGATTAAGTCGATTTCTGCTATGGTATAATTGTGAATTCAGCAGACTACTAAATACATATTATTATTTTTTATCTTTTCACCTGTCATTCCAGTCATTACACAACCGATACGATCAGTGAGTCTGAAAAGGTGAGTAACAGATTGCGGATCCAAGAGGCGATCGGGGACCTTGCGCTGGGCTGCCACCACTGCTGCGTCTGCGCCTCGCAGTGCTACAGACGTCAGACCACCTTGGTTAATTGCTTTAAGAGCATACTCTGCAACATAACAGTGTTTTTTTCTTTAATTTGGATGACTTGCAATTTAGAATGTTGTTAACCACTTGGTTATACCTACTTGATTAGAAAAATAAAAACGGTATATTATAAGATTATTAAGACATAATTAAACGGCTTTTATGCTAATAAATCGGCTTTCAAAATAATCCTTCGGCTAAGAACAAAAAACATTTACTTACCGACTTGGTACAATCTTCCCTCTGGTGAGAAAATTGTAATGTGTCGATCAAAGCCGGCACTACTTTCTCGAGCCATTTTTATTATAAGTAGGAGAGTTTTATTTAAAAAAATGGTTTATTGGTGTTAATTCGACAGTACATACGCTTTACATTAAAACTATACCTTCAATTTTATAAACTCATGCTGCTCCGCTTATATCTGTCAAAGTTATTCTTATATAGCCAATAATATGGCACAAAATATATTTCACCAATAAAATCGTTGGCAAGGTTTAAGCGTCGTAACTATTGACCAATCAAAATTGCGTGCAGAAATTTTTTGGTCACTTCTAGACTATAGAATAGACTTGGGGTAGACTATATTTCCCTGACTTCTATTATAGTCTGTCACAATAATGTCGGTACTGTCATTGCATTTCATTATTTCTATTTAAGTACATATTTTATCGAGCGATCGAGTTATAGACTTGAGACTGAAACGAAGAGGCTACTGCGTAGAGCTCAATAATTTTAGGGGATATTTCCCCTTTAAGCGGGTTTTGCTCATTTTAGGATTTTTTTTCTATTTGGCAATAGGTACATTAAGAGCTGTAATTAGTCTGTGGGCCCTTGTTATTTTAAATAGGTACCTGGGAGTTGGCAACATTGATCTCAGTTGTTATTTGTTTTCAGAGTGGGGTGTTCGTCTAAATTTTCTTTTTTCTTTTGATATTTGATTTTGTTCTTTCGCGTATTATGTGAGATTCTGTGGTATCATATAATATTTAATTGAGCACTCACAACTCATATTGTTGCGATTATTACGCAAGTGGATTGTTTTGCGCCAGTTGTTAAAAGGAAATTAAATTTAAAATGCAAGAAACCGTTAGAAATTCAAACTCAAAAAGAACATCTTTGTTTGGTTCGTTCCTGGAAATCCTTGAAGCCAGAGAAAAACAAGCGAATATCGAAAGACAATTGCAAGAAGAAAAATATCAGAAGAGGACACAAAAGATCTATGACTTTCATGGTAGGTAATACGAAATTAAATTGTTTTCTAGAGTGTTTTCAATAAAACTATGAAATGGTTCGGAAACTAGAAATTATATTTGATGAATTTTGCACTGGATGTTTATGCAAGCCAAATCTTATTACTTGTGATCTTATTTGTTCTCTTCCTATTATATAAAAAATATATAATGATGGTGTTACAATTCATTTATAATAGAGAAAACCTTAAATTTTATTCAATTAGGCTATTATCAAGTTATAACAATTTTCAAGCTTCATCATCAGCACAGGTTAAATAAAAATGGTTCACAACAAATGAATCATAGGGGGTAGTTGTAGTCTTCGTATGACATATGCATTCTTCCAGTAAACACTTCTAATCCACATACAGAAATGTATTATTCATTCTGGAAAATTGTTAATAGATAAATCACTAAAGGCTAAAACTTGTTGCCGCTATTACTTGCTTTTATTTTTATATATGTATTATGCTTCATTTTCAAATTATATACCAAATGTAAGATTAAAGATAGTAAAGTAAAGATTTCATAAAGTGTGAAGGGACAAACAATCTATATGTATTAGACAATATTTTTTGTTTGAAAATTGGAGATAAGTCAAGATGAGGGAAAACAGTAGATGATGGAAGCAAATGTACTTAGATGTAATCTGTAATCATTCATTCTTTTTCACTATTGACCCACAAACTGTTAAATTCTGTAACTCTGTCAGATTGCAATTAAGGTAAACTCAAAACTAGATTTTTATCTTATAGTACCATTTTAAATACCTCCTTAATGGCTGTATATATGTAAAAGAATGTTATAAGAATAGAACAAATTCAATTACAGCTCGCCAACAGCGGGAGGTGGCAGAACTCCAGCAGTGCTTGGAGTATATCTCGCAACATGCCCACGTGCTGGAGTCTGCGCTGCGAGGGGGAAGCGAGGAAGCCGTGCCGCTCTCGGGTTCGTTGATGCGGCAGGCTGCTGCGCTGCAGCACTGCATGGCTCAGTGCGTCGCCAACGCGTCGCGCATAAGGCAGTTGCTGACATCGGCACATCGCCCGCAAATGGACTCCATGCTCGCTAAAATGGTGAGTACTTTCATGTGCCCCACCTTTTCTTAAGAAAGAATTTTATTTTAAAAATCCTTATTTGTTTCACATTTACTATAGATAGGTATAATTCAGGAAAAAATTAAAACCACTTCACTAAATGCAAAGTGTCTACCTATTCATATTGAAGTAGGAAAGCTTAAAACGTGAATTGTAAAGAGTCGTAGAGTTCAATACGCGTTTAATATTCCGAGAAAAGCAACCAGCCACCCGCGATTTTAATCTTAGGCTCACTATATACCGAGAGACACATTGAAAGGAGGGGGTATTGGGTACGTGAACGTCGAGCGTTGCGTTAGGTGCATTGTTCTTAGAAAGCTAAACCAGGAAGGGCCCATACGGCTCGATTTCAATACTAGCGGCCACATTTTAGATTCTTTAGGTGTCGCAAAGTATCCACACTCCTTTTGTTCGTGCTCAAAACATTGATCAATTGAAAATTTCGGGCACGGAATTGTCTCCAGGCCCGCATCTTCTCTCGAGTCGGAGAGATTGGTGATTGTGAGAGAATACCAAAGCGTGAATCGGGCTATTTTCCATTTGAAGCATTCAAGGCACACAAGTCAGCGTAAGTCGGCACGGAGCGGTAAGGCGTTCCGTTGACCGGGTGCCAAAGAATTAAAGCCCTCCTTGCGCACGCTCCACATTGTGGAATCTCTCCCTCCTCTCCGTACTCGGGTAGCGGGTACGAGACTTAAGTAGTCTCCCCTGTCGCTCCATTGATCGCGATGTCTAAGTAGGAAGCATTTAGTGACTAATTGTGTTCGTGCGCGTGCGCCCGTTAACCCCGATCACGCGAGACGCCTTTGTTGACTTTTTGCAATTCACACTTCAATCTCGTCCCATTCTCTCGCGCTCATCGACATGTCAGTTGCTTCGGCGTGAGGAGACTTCCTTTTCAATGCAGTTATAGACTTTGGAACGGTCAAAGTTAATTAGTTCATATTAGAGATAAGTTCGAGGTTTTCCACGAAAAACCGGCAAAGATAATGTCTTCATCGGTTAGTAAACGAGCGTAGAATCGCCGGAAGCGTCATAACTGTCGACGCGGATTAAGGCCTGTTCGAGCAGATCGATTAGCGATGATGAGGCCCCTCGTGTAAAGTTATTTCGGTAGGTCCCAGTCAAGAGGGCATTAATAATGGGAACTACGAGTGACGGCCGTGAAAAGGCTTAGCGAAGTCAAGGCCGTTTTTGTAGGAGCCATTGTGTAGTCGAGATTTTGGATAACTCGTTCTGGCGAGGCGGTAACTGAGCGGACAACGTTTCGTAAAATAAACACACGGTCGATCGTATTACGGAAATTTCTTTTGTCTTTTGTATTATTTTGAAAGTTACCTTTAAAACTGACGATGAACGGTTCGTACGGTTTTCGTTTTCTCGGGCGCATATGCTAATTGCTGGAAGAGGTCAAACGGCGTCGGCGGCGACACGCTCGGATAATTATCGAGGTGGCCAATTGAGCTCACAGACAATTATCTCGTTAAAAGGCCGACGCGCGGCGATGGCTCCGACGTCGGGCGCGTCGATTCAGGACACTCGCTTCGAAGAGGCTTCTCTGCGCGTAATCGGAAAATCCTCGCAGCGCGAAGCCCCTCGGCGCGGATGTAATTCGACCCGCGGGCGAGACGATTAAAATTTTGCAGTGGACGGCGTGGACTCGCTTTTTATCGAGAATCGTGTTCGTCAACGATTTTTTCCATTATACGTCTCCTGGACTTTGAACTCTATGCCGGGTGTCTCTGAGGCACACTAGCGGGCTAATTACGGTCGTAGTTGGAAACTATTCTTATTATTGGTATATTATTTGTGTCCACACCCGTGGCCGTGCATCGTTCGTTTGCTCCCCCATATTGAAACGTATGTGTACGTCGCGTCAATATATGAATAACATAGTTATACCGATAAATCGACGCATTTACTCAGGACGGAATTGTAATGTCTATTGTAGACGCTGCCTTATGCCGGTCGCGTGTCGAGCGTTCGATTACGAACAACACGAGGGAATATGAGTTCGCGATATCGATATGAGATAGCGCTGACCGATTTCCCCCTTCCCTTGCACTACGACAACCGTCGCCTCGTTGCGACCCTAATCGCGTAAACGATAACAGCCGACCTGGACTTCCGAAGGGTTCGATAACATGTGCATCACCGATAAGCAAATTGTTGACCGAAATTGGTTAGACGGTGCGGAAGAGCGAAAGTGACCACAAAAGAACTGAATATGACTGTCTGCACGGGACTCGTAGGAGGTACGGGTTCGGGTTCATAGCGTATGTAAGATGACATAGAAACTTCTTTCTTCTATTCTATCAATTGTAACGAGGTAATTTAAATAAACAACTTGACCGATTAAAGACTTTAATTTTTATCAAATTGTAACAGAGCTTTCGCTTTGATTAGTCCCACAATTAGAATGCCTAACCCAATGTCGTGCACGCGCTTTCGCGCGCTTTTCCCGATATGTGAATGCACGATCTGTCATCTCGGGAGTGAACTATCTTTGTCACTACAGACTATATCACACCACAGACTGTATCACATCACAGACTATATCACAGTCTACGGCTCGGTTTGTGATTGGCTCTGTTTGCTAACATGATGGTTAGCGGCTGGCATGGCTGGCATAGCTGGCATAGCTGGGCATGGCTGGCATGGCTGGCTTGGCTGGCTTGGCTGGCTTGGCTGGCATGGCTGGCTTGGCTGGCATTGACTCGGCTTGTAGGGCTTAGCACAACATCTTAGGTAACGCGTTACAATCGGCCATCCTGCAACGATTGCTCCCGCAACGGGAACAAATACGTATTTAGCTTTCTAGTAAATCAATCAAATCCTCAGTTTCTACTTGTTCGTCACCACTAGAGTCACTTTCAGATACTGGGGCTATACTTCGATAAGGACGTAATGCGTCAGCAGAAACCAACCCCATAAAACTTTTATACCCACGTACCCCCTTTATACTTCTGATTTTATACCTATCATTACCTAGTACTTTAGTTACAATGTATGGACCTGAATAAATGTCATCTAGTTTGGTATTGACCTTGGCGGCACTACTCGTCGGAGCCTGTTTCCACAAAACCAGATCATTCTTACTATACACACGACTTTTTTTTCTACACTTATCAAAATTACGTTTCATTTTAGAGCTAGCTTTATCCAAACGTTGTTTAGCTTTTCGACGTTTGTCTTGAGTCGACTCAAATACTCGCCCCGGAATTGAAACATCGCATACAGACCTAGCATTTCGGGAAAACATCAGATCAAACGGCTTAAACCCCGTACTATCATTTAAAGTGTTATTGATGCCCCATATCACATCGCAAATGCTATTTGACCAATTGTTCGCCGCTTCGCTTGGATCTGTAGCGCGTAATGCGTTAAGTATAGTTCGATTGGTTCGTTCCACTTGCCCATTTGCCCTAGGGCACGCAATAGTAGTTAGAGTGTGCTTTACTTGTTTTTCTGTGACAAATTTTTTAAAGTACCTGCTAGTGAACGCTTTACCATGATCCGAGACTATTCTATCGGGGTAACCAAACAAACTAAAAACTTTTTTTAGTACTCTTATTGTCTCAATAGAATTTAGGGTTCGGGTTGGTTCCGCAACTACAAACTTCGAGAATGCATCAGTCATAACTAACATGTAACTATATCCTTTCTTTGTTTTGCAAAATGGACCTAAATGATCCACATGAATTACTCTAAACGCCTCGGCAGGTTTAGGAATGGGATGTAGTAGCCCTTCTCGCCTACCATTTTCACCCTTTCCATACGCACAGTGTAAGCAAGCCGTCACATATTTTTTAATAAAACGACTCATTTTCGGAAACCAATAATCATTTTTGATTAAGTCTGTACAACGCTTTATTCCTACATGTCCTATATCATCGTGATGCATTTGAACGATTTTCCACCTAGCTACCCTAGGAACAACAAGCCTATTTCCGTTAATAGTCTGTCTATATAATCTATCGTTAATAACTACGAAGTCCCTAACTATGTCCTTATCTGCGGCGCCCGATTTTAATTGATCGATAATACTTTTGACTTTTTCATCCTGTATCTGAACCGTATAAAACCAATCTTCAGACCCCAACCTATACACATTGACCGTATTTAATGCGTTCCTACTTAAAGCATCAACGTGTCTCATTCGTTCTCCGGGTCTGTATTCAATATCAAGGTCGTAATCCTGTATCATCAACCACCATCTTGCAATTCGAGGAATTAAATCGCGTTTAGTTAAGGTCGAACGAACGGCTGTACAGTCAGTGACTACCTTTACTCTTTTACCTACTATGTAAATTCGAAACTTCCGTAGTGATTCAACAACAGCAAGCGTTTCGAGTTCATAACTGTGGTACATACTCTCATGTTTAGATGTTATGCGACTAAAATACATGACTGGCCTCAAAGTGATATCAAGTTGTTTTTGTAAAAGGATGCCTGCTATCCCGGCCTTACAGGCATCTGTATGAATCTCAATCTCGAGAGAAGGATCATATAAAGCTAACACAGGTTTAGAACACAAGCGTTTCTTTAATTCTACAAAACTCTCCGCCTGAGTAGTGCCCCAATTCCAAGCTACATCCTTCTTAGTTAAATCAGTTAATGGACGAGCTATTTGAGCAAACTTATAGATGAATTTCCTAAAATAACTGCACAACCCTATAAACTGCCGAACTTCATGTACATTTTTGGGTGCTGAAAATTGTGAAACTGCATTGAGCTTATGTTCTGCGGGTTGTACTCCATGTTCAGAGATCTCATGACCCAGATAAGTAACTTTTTGTTGCAAAAATGAACATTTACTTTTTACAATGTCCTGTTCACAATGTGATAACCGATAGGGATGGCGATAAATAGGCTTTTCAGTGGTGAGATTGATTGGCATTGAAATGAGATTAGTACAACCAAGGTCGTCAGTACCCCTAGCAAAGCAATCCTTAAATCTAACTAACAATTCTATTAATTGTAAATATTCACTGTCTGTTATTTTACCAATATTCATATCTGCTATTTGAACACCCCCAATAGTATCTTCAGGCTTTAAATGTAACACAGATTGCACACAGTTAGTAAAATAAGGAAGGCTAACCTGGCTATCTATGGCTGGCTCTGAGCAATCCTCTGCCCGCGTGAGGATTTGACTGGCGTCCCATGTTATGTCCTTTTGGCCGCTGTTGATTATCTTTATGTAACCCAAATTGCCTCGCAGAAGCGTAGCTGGTAAAGAGTAAGAGATATCTCCAAACTCATAATGTCGCATAGCACTGCATACATTGTTGTCTTCGCGGTTTCCTTCAACTCTTACTCGGATAATTGACGTTCCCGGGGGTAAAGTTTCTTTGGCAGCCGTGACGACGATATACTTTCCCAATTTGTTAATGTCATTAATTTTAGATAGAAAATCACAATTCTCAATTAATCTCAGAGTGGCCGCGCCATTTTCAACCGTCAATGTCACGTTTCCCGCGTTAATGACAGGCTGTCCAATCAATAGGTCTACGTCACCCATCTCTGCGTCTGTCAAGTAAGCTTCACTAGACATTTCCACGTTATCTATTTTCAGATTTATTTGAACTTTCCCGCGGGATGTAATTAAACCGCCGGCAAATCCTTTAAGTATTATTTTCGTTGGTATGACTTTCAAGGAAAGGGCAGTAGAAATCTTCGCGCTCATTACATTTACTTGGCTACCAGTATCCAGATATGATTTGATATAAATGCCATCTACTTGAGCTGTTTTTTTGTAGGTATCGTTGTAATTTTGAATTAATTTTATGTCTCTAACACCACCACCGGCCGAGTTTAAAATCGAAGTATCACATTTTGTGGCTATATGTCCTTGCTTACCGCATTTATAACACAGGCGTAGATCTGGCATGGAACAATTACGCAGCATGTGACCAACCTTCTTACATCGTGGGCACGGGTCGTTTTCATAAACTTTTGGGACAGTAAAAGGTTGGTTCTCTTTGCATTGCGGGCGGGTGACAGATTGTCCCCGATAGTCATCCATTGCGCTAAGGAACCCTTCGTAAAGTTCATCAGGACGTTCGCATTGAAAAGCAAGTGCGTTAGGTTGCAAGGAAGCGGGTAGGCCGCGTATTATACATGACACGCTAGCAGCATCCGATAGCTTACATCTAAAACATAATGTAGCTTTATCTTGATAATATTTGGTCATAGATTCATTAGGTAGCTTTTTCCTTTGCATCATTTCCTCTAGCAAAGAACCGTAATCTCGATGCTTCGGAAATGCGCGTAGCAACAAGACTTTCCATTCTTGCCACGTATGATCATAATCATCGAGTCGATTATACCATTTGCGAGCCTGACCGCGTAGCTTGTCTTGAAGGTAGAATGCCTTTACTGTGTCACTCCATGTATATATCTCTCCCAATTGCTCGATCTTATTTATCCAGGCCGACACCGTGCAATCGTCGCTGTCAGGATCGAAATCGGGAATTAGCGATGACGTTCGTTGAGGGTTGCTTGGGCCGGCGCTAGAGATTTCCTGATTTAGATCGTTCATGGCTCTTTTTACTTCATTTTGAAGCAATTGCTTTAACAATTTCTTGGCAGGCGGTTCCTCATGATTTCGGTCGGTGTTGTTTTTTCTGGAGGAACTGTTTCGGCGGACGCCGTGTCCAACTTTATTGCGCTTCATCCCACTTCTGAATTGTAACGAGGTAATTTAAATAAACAACTTGACCGATTAAAGACTTTAATTTTTATCAAATTGTAACAGAGCTTTCGCTTTGATTAGTCCCACAATTAGAATGCCTAACCCAATGTCGTGCACGCGCTTTCGCGCGCTTTTCCCGATATGTGAATGCACGATCTGTCATCTCGGGAGTGAACTATCTTTGTCACTACAGACTATATCACACCACAGACTGTATCACATCACAGACTATATCACAGTCTACGGCTCGGTTTGTGATTGGCTCTGTTTGCTAACATGATGGTTAGCGGCTGGCATGGCTGGCATAGCTGGCATAGCTGGGCATGGCTGGCATGGCTGGCTTGGCTGGCTTGGCTGGCTTGGCTGGCATGGCTGGCTTGGCTGGCATTGACTCGGCTTGTAGGGCTTAGCACAACATCTTAGGTAACGCGTTACACAATATTGAATATCGACATATATCGACGTCGGGGTAATATAAAACATTTATCAGACGGCGACGTGACGCATTAGACTGAGCTCTTGTACGAGACGAGGTCGGGTGGCCGGCGTTTAGAACTCTTATTTAGAAACGACGTTATTGAAATTGCGGTAGTTCAAATCTTTGTTTCTTTCGCTCGCGTCGGTTGTACCGTTAATGAGAGCGTGCGTGATGCGTGACGGTCGCGACACACGCGTCGAATTGTAAAGCACCCGAGTGCCATGCCATCTTATTGTTGTATACTATGGAGCTCATAGAGCCGCAGATGTGAATTAGATAACGAAGGCATTTTCCTAAAAGCCTGCTCGTTCGTTCAGTCTGCACGTGTGTATAGACTGCAGATTCAGCCTATCGCTTTATTGACGGCGCTTATCGCAGCGAAAGTCTGTTGTGCCCGATTCGATAAGGGCATCGGCTACACTGATAACGGCCCTCTCTACACATGTGATAGGTCCGCTCACATTATCGCTAATGTATGCCCTATAGCACGGCGCTACGGCGACATTACGAGGTGCGATATACAGACGCAGTCGCGGCGCCTAATGCTATTACGGTGGAAGCCTTCGCTCCGTTCCGCGTGATCCAATCGGCCGGCTCTCTCTGTGCGTCTCCTCGTCGGGAATTACTCGTACGACCACTGTAATTCATCGGCGACGGACGACGTAAGATTCGCATGAAGTACCGTCGACCTAAAAGGATAACCCGAAGCGCGGAGGACGCGACAACCGGTCCTTGACCTCGCTCCGACCCAGTGACCCAATTCCGAGGAGCGCGGCTGCGAACGGCAAACTGATCTTCGTTGTGCTTTCACATCGGCGGGCACGACCTTCAAACTATTTACTCAGAGGAAAATAAAATAAATTCTACTTATCAAAATCGACAGACTGTATAATGTCGTCCTCCAAACGTTTTATAACCGATGCAGCGCGGAAGCTGCGGTAGGCGCGAATCAGCGCTATTATTAGCGGTCGCGTCAGCGCAAATTATGACCGATCTTGAACTAGGCGACGCGTTCCTACTCTCGTTACATCACCTTCCTATGCGTGTTCGCTTTACGGGTAGATGATCGATAATCGTCGCGGTCCTGCGGTCTCGGTTGACACGCTTCGAACAATACTCCGGTTATCGTCGGTCACGGTGCGGAAGGTGACCCTCTCTTCGGGGATCTAATCGAGAACAATGTTCACAGGAAGCGGAGCTGGGCGCGGGGACGGCGTTCCTACAGCGCGCGATGGACGCCACCAACAGCACCGAGGTGACCATCGACAACCTGCACAATCTGATCGGTCAGTATAGTCGCTGCGTTGGATGTCGCGACGTCACGAAGCTTAGAACGCCCTTTGTCTTTGCAGCCGAGCAGCGCCGCTGCGTGCGCGAGGTGTCGTCGAGCGCGGTGTTCGCGTCGCCGTGCGGCGCGGGCGACGACGGCGAGACGAGCTCGTCTCCGCCCGCACCTAGCACACCGTTCGCGGACCGGCGACCTTCGACGATGTGCAGCACGCCGATTCAGAGGGAATAACGAAGTTTCCTCGCCGCGCTCTGTTGCCGCGGCCGCCTCGCGCGCTCGCGCCGCTATCTGATCCGATCCGCACGCGTGTGAGGTGGTAGAACTGTATTGAATCGGTGCCAAATCGCGTCAGAGGGCGCCTCGCAACGCTTGCCTCGGCTCAGTGTTCGCCTCGCGCACAGTGCATTTATACTTCGTTCGCGACGAAGTACATCCTACGCTTTTACCTGCATTTCATGTTACCGTTGAACGTAACTCCTGTCCTAGTGTTAAAGACAGAGAAGTGTTACTCAAATATTTAGGAAGAGATGAAATTCGATGTTTCCTAAAAGAAAACAAAAATTACGTCGTTGCATAAAGGCTGAAACTTCATCCGGAGTTTGGACTTCGGTGCGTTTAGAGGATGAGGTAGCAAGGCTGAAGGTACGTACTCCGCTTAAGTCGAGTAGTTCTGCAGATGTACTTTGGCAGAGTATGAAAATTGTTCGCCACAAATACTTAAAAGTTTCAGCCCCTATAATGGCGAACACGATATCTAATAATGATATTGTTCAATGAAATGTTCATTTGCCGTTTGAAAGATTCAACCTGTTTTTGTATCTCTTCTCGAAAATCTCACTCTACAACAGACAAACGACAAATAAACATTTACAGTTAAAAATTGTTCTACAAAAATACAAATTTAATTAAATATTAAATAAATACACCAATATAGTGATACTCTGTGGCCCCTTCAGAGGCCGAGCTAACGCAAGCGAGGTTGTTCGACATTTTTCTGTTATACACACAAACGCTTTAAGAAATTACACTGATACTTCAAAAATTGTAATAAACTCTTTTAGTTAGGTACATACTATATTTTATATTTACGTTTCGTATCTACCTCCTGTTGGAACTCTACTGCCAATATCTAGACGTTTTTTCTGTAGATTTTGATAAAATATTAAAGTCAGTCTCACGATCTGTCTTCGGGTTAAGATTTTGATATAAATGTATATTTACTTGAACGATACGATTGCGTCGTTAACGGCTCCGGCAGTTCACGACGTCGTCGACCGTCGAACGTGTTGTCTATTGAATAGTAAAATAATTATGGAGCTTTTTAATTCTGAATATTGTCTATTCGTGTTTGATATATGTGATTCTTCGTCGCCGAGGGACACCGCGACCTCGCGACTTACATTCCACTAAGTCTATACCTGTTGTATATTCCTTTGAATAAAACCAAACCTATTCTCATCTCGTTTATTTCCACCTTACGCTGTATATTAACACTACAATAAAACTAGACTACGATAAGATCTAGGACGAAACACGAACGAATCGACTTCTTTTTCTATGAAGGCTGAAAGCGATAATATACCGATGTTCTTTTGTTAAGTTACAATTAAACATACTCAATAAATTTTTTAAACGATACAGACTGTTTTTTTTTAAATATTCATTAATTAATGGAATCGTTCTCTTCCATTCGACACTGTGTGGAGTGACGCCTTAATACTTGTCACTGGACACTAGCGGATCGCGTCGTATACTTACTTAGCCTACTTTGTACAATACGGCACCATCGCTCGTTCACAACGCAGTTAGACGGACAATTATTCAGTTAAATAAAACGAACACATCTAGGCGGGGGCCAGCGGCGGAGGCGGCGGGGCGGGACGCGGGGCCCGCGGGGGTGACAGCACGCTGTGGGGCACGGGCACCGTCCTCCCGCACACCTGTGAACACGAACGTTGTCGTTCGTCAATTCTGCCGAAAGCTATTCCACTGCGGTACTGAGCGCTCGCCGCACCTGAACTGTGACGTGGCCTCGAGGCGCGGCGCCGAGAGCCAGCACGGTGTCGCCGGCTCGCAGGCGCACTCCCGCCTCGTCCCAATCTGCGGCCACGGTGCGCTGCTGCGGGTAACCCAGCTTGACGCCGTTGGACACCGTGTACGCCCGCGAAGGCGGCAGCGGGGGAGGCCGCTCCTGCACAGAGACTTACTCGTCTACCGAATCCTCACATTGCGTGTTAGAATCGAGGGAAAGAGGCACCCACCAGATCGAGCCCGAAGAGCGAGCAAGTCCTCTTCACTATGGCAGGGTCGCACTCTGTGTCGTGCGGTGGTGGGGGCGGTGGGGTGCCCGCGATCGGCGCGGGTCGGGGGCGTGGAGGCGTGGATCGGGCGCGGTGGCGACGCCAAGCGCTCTGGATGCACTGCGCGGCTGCATGACGACGCGCGCGACGCATTCTCTCTAACACCTTCGGAACACGAGACGTCAAGTACACACAACGGCTCTTAAGATTACAATACTTTCTGTAAGCTAGGAAATGACAGCGTGGAGCGCGCCAGTACCTGTCGCATTCCTTCGCTGAGGAAGATGTGCCTCTTGCCGATCGCCCACCGAACCGCTGCGTCCGAGGCCGGGGCGGCGGGGGCGGTGACGGAGCGGAGGACGCTCGCGCACGCCGCCTCGCTCCACTCCGCGCATTGCTGCTTGTCGCGCGCCCGCAACGCCCGGTACCGCGCGCTGAACACGCGGAACCGCATGCGATGCGGGTACCCGTTCGCCATTAACTGTACCGTCTCCAAGATTTGCAGAGCTCGAACCTTTGACATTAACGGTGATCTATACTAATATTATAACGCTAAAAAGTTTATTTGATTGAACGCGCTAATCTCAGGAACTACTGGTTCTAATTGAAAAGTGATTTGAGTGTCGGTTGGACCACATATCGAGGAGGCTTTAGGCTGTAAAACATCGAGCTGTAATATTATTCATCTTTGAGGGTTTCCGATGCGTGCGGTGCGAAAACGGTTTTTTAAGCTTTTTGTCAATACCATTTAATAATAATAAATACATTTATATCAGTATAGATACATAAAAAATCTTCTCTTAATCTAAATACAGTCAATGTTACTTAGGGTGCATATGGATAAGGATTTTTTTATAGGAACAGAAGCGTTTGAACTTACCCGTTACGAACATACATACAGACAAAAACAGAAATAATAAATGAATGGAACCTGCGTAGCGACCGTGGTTCGGTCAAAGAGCATCGGTGTCTCCGTGGAATTGGCTCGTAAGCAGCGCACGAAATGCGGTCGAGCGTGAACGAGGGTCCGCAAAAGGTTGTCGAGGCGCGTGTGGAAGTCTTGAGTGAGCGTGGATCCACCCGAGGTCGCCGGGGTCGCGGAAGACGCCCCCGCAGCTGTCGGGGACGCGCGGAACATAGCGCCAGAAGGGCCGCCCGCCGCGGCCAGGGCCTGGGGGCACAAATGACATCACTTTTCCGAAGCATATGCAATGCAAACGGCTTTCACCAAATCGATTCGCTCACCTTTAGTTCGGCACCGAACAGATGGGTCGCGAATCCAAACTCGCAAGCTCTCGTATCGAAAACGGCGAGAAGGTCGTCCGGGACGGAGTCACGGTTGGCGTCCAGAAAGTCAGTTGTATCGTATACTACTTCTCCCGCGTAGTGGCGCACGGCGAAGCGACGGGGGTGTGGCGGTCGCGGCTCGGCCAACCGCGGATGTCCTCTGTGAGCTGCCTTTATGCGGCTCACGTACTGCTCGGGAGAACCTTTCGCCGCGCACTCCGCATCCAGCGCGGCCAGGAGCCCGGTTCGCAGCGACGAGACGAGGTCGATGCAAGGCACGTTGTCGACATACTCCACCTCGAGGGCGCCGGGCACGCCCTCCTCCCGGCACGACTCCGTCGATGACTGCGAACGCGCGACCGATTATATACGACTATTTTTTTTGCGGCCGATGATCATCGACCCTAGCAGTTACCTTAAACACGTGTGTGTTGTAAAAATGTTGCATCGTTTCGGCGCAGAGATTGGCGCAAAGATGCTCTAGACGACTCGGGGCGGCGTCCTCGAATCCGAACATATCCAAAATACCAACGAAACCGTCCGTCGCATGTCTCACCGCGTCATTCAGGGCGGCCATCGAACGAGCCCCGGCCCCGCTGCGCGCTCCGCTGCCCGCCGTCGAAGCGCGACGCGATGCCGCCTCTTGGTGTACCTGCGATAGTTCGATATTATCTTGCGAGCTCCAAAGGGTTTCGAGCGAAGCCGGTTAACGTATCTGACCGATTCGTTGGAGTCCGAAGAGAGCGTCCCGAGTGTGGAACCGAGCCGCTTTAGGGAATTTGCCCGTCGCACGATAGTCGCTACGGTTCGGCAGTAGAGCGCCTTGGCGAGCGCATCCCGCGCAGAAGCCGCTGCGGGGGCCGAGGCAGGCGCGCGCACCTGTCCTCTCCCTGCGCGGGGCGCCCCTCGCGTGCCGAGGCCTCGCACCAGCGCCGACGCACCTACGCCCAGAAGGTTGCTCGCTGATGAGACCTCTGCCTGTTGAATTGACGTTTCCGAAAGCTTATTTGTTTTGTTAATGGAAAAACTAAGGACATAACGAAATGTAACAATTACCTCTCCGCCGGGTTCGGCGATGCCATCAGCGCCGTCGGTGAAAGTGACGTTACCGAGTAAGAGCACGGCTGCCAGGACGCGCACTACGTCCAGAAAGGGGATGCCGAGCACGCCTAAGCAGCTCTTCCAAGCTTGAAAACGGACCGCGTCCTCGCTTTCGGACCGACGAGACACCGAGGAGGACAGATACCTGAGCGAAAGATACCAGCGTGCCATTTTCTGCATATTTACCAGCTTTATTTTTAAAATGTTTCCTTTGTATTATAATATTTGAGCCATGTTGTATTAAACCTTTTAAATTAAATCGGATCGACATTCTCACCTGAAATCTTGCGCTGTATGTTTGTCGAGGTGCAACTGCGAACGCTCGTCGCTCGATAGACCCGCGAGCATCTGGTAGAAGATATGGTAGTTCCTCTCTCCGGCGGGAGGTCGCACCACGCGCGTCTGGTCCAGGAAATAGCAATGGATCTTGGTGCGGTATAAAGCGCCGTCCGTCACTTGCACCTCGATGAAGTGTCCCTGCACGTGTGCTCGATTAGACTCGGCCATCCGAGAAGCGACAAAGCTAAATGAAATGAAATTGGTCTATTACGATTCTCGTGGAGTGCGAGTTGGCGAGAGTGGCCGCCGTCCCGAGCGAGCGCAGAACGGTGAACGCGGCGGCGAGATGCTTGAAGGCGTCGGTCTCGGGGCCTCCGCCGGCCGCGTCGAACAGTCGCCGCAGCACTACCATCGACGCGTACGTCTTCCCCGAACCCGACACACCTGCAAGTGGCCATCGTTACATCGACAAAGACACGACTACGAGACCGATCTACTCGATAAATGTCAACGAAATGACTCTGCACCGGAGAGGATTATGGCCTGCGGACAGCCCGTGTCGGCTTGATGGCGCACGGCGTCTTGCACTAGCCGCGTCAACTCGGGCCGCTGCGCCCGCGCCGCCGTCGGCGTCAAAGCGTTCGTCGAGTCACTATACGCGTTCAGAGCCACCACGATCGGCCCCACAGTGGTCTGAAACGGGGCAAATAAAAATATGTTATCGACGCGACTGATAAGCATCATTTGAACTTACGAAATAAGGGTAAACTAGCTATCCCCAAATTAGGCTCCATAAAATATCTAATTCATCTGCGAGGAATTGTATTCGTATGTATACACTGCCAGTCGAGATTTAAAATTTATCGATGAGTAAATCTAAGAAAGTTATAAAACTTAGATTGTGTCAAAAGGCGTATTATTGTCTGAACGATTTCTGTCATGACAAGACCGCCTGGCAGTAATGTGAATTGCTCCTGCTAATAAATTTACAAAAATTTATCATAAATAAGACATATTTAAAAAAGCCGCACTGAGTTTCTTGGATTTCTTCTCAGTTATGTTGCTCTTTTGAACACTGTAGAATCACGACCAACGAACAGACAATCGAAAAAAAAATTTGACGCATCTAAATAATTTTTAAAATTTTAAAGAGAAAAAAGTACTGATATTTTATTTTATTTTTATCCGCTGCGCGCGAATCTACATGTTCCTCGAGAAACGCTACTTCCCGTTATGTTTTAACATACTGACGTAAAATTTATTTTGATAGAATCTCGTCTGCAGCGCTCTGACCAGCGCGTCCTCTGTGAGGGGTCCTCGTAAATGGATGAGATCGTCGACATCACCGCTCGGCGCCCCGCCCGGGGTCGGCGCGGCCGATGCACCTGACGCACCGCGCCATCTCGATTCTAATAATTATAAACTTTAATAAGTGCATGAATTTGCACAATTGCGTTAAGAATTTAAAATAATGTACAGATAACACAATACCAGGGCATTTTGTTATCAGAACGCACGCTATGTCCCTGTGATCCCTGTGCATGCCGTGTACGGACAAACATCCGTACAAATTTACTATATTTTTATAATAATATTATTTTATAGCATAGCTAGCATAATTCTAAATCTATGTCAGCGTCGTGCTCACATCAATGTTTTTATTAAAAGCAAATTTACAAGGTTAGTTTAGTGAGCGTCCTATTTTCTACCTTTCTTGTAAATTATATTTAAGCGATATTAATAGGAAATAAATCAGTTGCACTACAGCACTCATTGGGTATGGTTATTTCGCCTCCCTCTTAACCTTTATCACGTCAAAGCTGTTAACTCTACAGCATAACGTCAGCAAACACAAGCACGTATACTTTTCCGAACTGTTATACGCAACAGTCTCGGGTACCCGAAACTCGGGAGTATACGATAAACTGTTATACACTACAGTTTTTGGTGCCGAAACCCGGGACCCACAGCCAGTCCCACAGCAAATCATCCCAGGAACTGTTATACACTACAGTTTTTGGTGCCGAAACCCGGGAGTATACGATAAACTGTTATTCACTACATGCCGTATCTGCATATTTACAAGCTTATTTTTAAAACTTTATTTATGTTCATGCTATCACTTACTTCTGTAGACCTTTCAAATAATAAAGAATATCTATTACTGCCACTTAGTTTCCCAGTGCCCGACTTGGTTTTCATTGAAATCTTTTTTTCTACTAAATGTAAACCGTGACACACTCCAACATTGGACTTGTATTATAAACAGGTTATAAGATGAATGCGAATAAAAAGTCGCCGAACTCACCCGGGGGAGGAGGCGGCGGCTGCTGCGTCTGAAGCGGAGGAGGAAGTAGCGGAGCGCGAGGCGGCACCGCCGGCTGAGCGCCCGTGCCGCTCGCCGCTCCGTTCGACGTGCCACCAACGTGCAAGTGGTTGCGGAGCGTCACCAGCTCTGAGCTGAGGCTCAATAGTCGCCGCTGCAGGTGCACCGCCTCGTTGGATGACGATGCATCTGCGAAATAACAATCGTGCGATCATCAAATTATATAAAAGAAATAGCGCAAGCGCCGTTCCAACGCCTACTCCAGTCTAACCCCAAGAAAAAGTTAAAGACTGAAGCACTTAAAAGTATTTTATCTTCATACACCAAAATTAACGTAGGTAGAAACCGTCCATTGTACCGTGTATGCGAGACCCTTAACAATGTCACGCGAGAAACCGACGCTGATCCTTACTTTGATTCTTTTACTCGATTTAAAAATAAAGTATTGCGACTATAGACACTTTATTATAATTAGATTCGAATTCGGTACTTTTAGAGTACAGAATTCGAAACTACTAATTTTGAGTTAACAATGCTGTGTACATCAGTAATTGAGTCCTACATAGGCATTTTAACTTATTGTGATGTTAAGTATAAATATAAATAAATTATAGTAAACGTTTGGCCGTCCCGTGAAGGACGACCGCTTCCCGCGTGCCCTACCTCGCAGCTCTCAAATATTGTTAGCGCTCTCTCGCACGCTCGGCCGTGTTATAAAACGATGACTAGTTGGTCGAGAAAATATTCTGCGAGAAATTACCGAATGATAAAATGTAGGTAGGCACACACTTCTTTTCAGCGTATACTATTGTATACGTGGTATATTTTTGTATTAGGCAATTTTTTGGACTAGTGAAGTGGCGAGAAGGGTGCGGGATGTGCTCAGCAGATAGTCGTGTGCGCAGAGGTGAACGGCCTCGTGCCGGGCCCGTCGCCTGAGCTAACGTGTAGCTAACGACTAAAAACTTCACTCCGTAGTGGAATTCCTTTGTAAGTTTCAATTCTATCTCATTTGTATTTAATAGCGTTTCATATTAAATATTCGTATAGGTACGTAAATATCATTGCTATTGCCATGACAGTTTCAAATGTATCAATAAATAAGTGTAAAAATCTTTAATAACAAGGCTGCCTGGCATCTATATGAATTGCTCCTTAGGTTAATAAATTATCCAAAAATGTATTATTTAATAAGACACTAGCTGTTGCCGCGACTTCGTCCACTAAGAATAACGCATCCCTTCCCGTCGTTCTTGCAAGTTAATCTTAAAAGATAGACATATAGCGTCGTGGACTTTTTTTTAGATTATTTAAAGAGTAATCATTCTCTCGTACATATTTTTAGGGTATCTTGAATAGTTTTTGCAGCGTACGAATCGGAAACCCATGATGATGAATAATTTTTAATTTTTTTCTACATTTCCCGCTGTATCCTTGTATTAGTCACAGCGCTATGCCTTCCTCGATAAATGCTCTAACCAACACAACGAATTTCTCAAACCGTAGTCACTTCTTGGGTGTTCTCGGTTATGTTGCTCTTTTGAACTAACATTATTATTATTTTTTAATTTCGAAGAGAATAAAGTGTATATTTTTCTATAAAAAAAATAAACAAAAAAAGTACTTTCTGTTTCGAATCGTCCCTCGTGTCGTGTCTTGGGAATGTGATGGGTTCGGAATGCGGTCTTCGCGATGACATGCAAAATTCCCGTCTTGGGAACATAGCAAGCGCGACGTAAAGTGACAAGTATTCTGAATACGGTTTTCCACAATCCCGGTAAATATGCGCTTAGCTAATATGTCACTTCATCGTCATTAAACAACACGGGACGGATTCCGTCGAATTTTGTAGCTTCGTTTTGTTTTTGGTCATCGCCGTTGAAAGTGGGCAAGAAGCCGCGCTCGCGTTGATGTCTTTCGTGCGTTCGAAGTGGGAAACAAGAAAGTTAGTATTACTTTGTTTACTGCGAAACATCAGGTGGAACAGACGAGGCTCATTTCAGAAAGGTACTCGAAGAAGCGTTGAAGTGATAAAATACAACGTTATGTCGAATCGCCTAGCTGATTGCAATGATTTAGATATCTGGCTACTCTGACTACTGCCTTCTCTATTTGCAGCGTGAACTAAATACCTATCACTCGGTATAAGTGTCGTTTGCGCCTAACTAAAATTACGTCTCAAATCGCATCTCTCACTTTCAGTCTCAGTGAGAGATGCGTCGGGTCCACTTCCACTTGCCGTTTAAGGAAAACTCGAGAAACAAATATGGAATACGTTCACATTTGCGGAATGCAGCTATCATATGGGTCACGCTTACACGTCTAAATGGGTCAATGATGAGAAACGTGACCTAAGAGAGGATAAATGTGCGTCGTACGACGGCGCTTTCTCGGCCGTTTCGGGGACTGAGTCGCATAATGCTACTAACGGCGCGTATAAGCTGCGAAGGTATTCGAGCTCAGAGAACCGGCTCGGGTCCATTGAGCCCCGCCGACCGGCCGAGGGCCGAATTTACCTGAGATACCTGCGCCGACCGCCCCGCGCCCTCCTCGCCGCACACTCCCGCGCCGTTTATGCTTTCATTCGCTGTGTACGAGGTAACGAGACAAATAAGTGTCTCGTTTTAGTCCGCGCGATCGCGGGTATGTGTTCAAATGTTAGAAGCGGACGAAGCCAGCTTTCTCGAGGCCGCGTACAGATGGCTCACCTTGCAGCTTCTTCTCCGTCTCCCAAAACTTCTGCAATTCGGTGAAGTACTTGTCTAGAATGAACACTTTGGAAAGGCCGAGCGTGGCCATGGCGGGCGGCGCGCTCGCATCACACTCGCCGCCCGCTCTAACACTGTCACCGGCGCCCGCGCAATCGAGCGACTTCCTTCGAGCGTCTCCACCAGTGCACTGCGCCGTGCGCGCCGCTCGCTCGCGCCGTCCCGCTCCAAAGTCCCCCGCACTTTCATATTTCCTCTTTAGGATTGGCTCATTCTGACATCACTGCTACTTTGTTTTTGCGGGAGATACATAGATTTAGCCACTTATGATTACGCGTATATAATAATAACTTCTATCGATAAAAGTAACCGGCATTATGAGCGCCCGATTGCGAAGCATCATTGCGGTTCACTTTTTCTGAAGAACTGTTTAGCCGCGCCCTCTGTGCATTCTTACACGAAACTCTTAAACGGAGACTTGTAATAGGGCATCTCCAAGATAAAATCACTCAGATAGATTCGAGTAGTTGCTACACAATGTAGGTGTCGCAGCCTGCACTTGAAGGATTGGAGATTCTTTTTTTATTTAAAAGGTCTACAAAACTAAGCTTTAATATATAGATACGGTGTAAATTGGCTTTACACAAATAAAAAATCTTAAAAATTAAGCTTATAAATATGTAGATACGACATGCAAATAAGTTTAATCGTACAAAGTACCTAAATAATAATTAAATCTAATATAAATTTAACCAAACAATTAAAATATATTACATTAGTGCTCTACAACAAAACTCAATTATTGTCGGAGGCCGGAAGTACTGTAATAAAAAATATCCAGGTCTAAAGAGCGATCGTTAAATAGATTGCACGCATAGTAGAGTAATTCTCTTCTTTCTACTTTAACAATATGTGTTTACATAGCGAAAAAACCTTTTATTTTTTATTGTAAAATTTTATTTTGTGTTTATACTGACCGTGCCGACGCGAGCGATTTGGCGGAACGGCTCGGGCAGACAGCGCCTCTTTATCCCGCGGAGCCGTTCTCACCGATCTGCATACAAAAAGTTTAATTTAACTCTCGTGAGGCCCGTCGGAGGATTGAAGGTTTAATACTCAGAAGTGGTACTCGCCTCCGCGTGCGTCGATCAACGCGACGGTACGCGCAGAAGAAGTCGGGGGGTACACGGTGGGTCCGCAAAAGCAGCGGGAGCGCCGAAACTCCGCTCTCGGCCGCCTCGTACGTCTGGTCGGGAAGCAACATCGGCCGCGCATCGCTCGGCACCCACTGTTGCCACGACCGCCGCTACTCGCCGTCGACCGTTCGGGCTCGACCGAATAGCGGCGTCGTCAAAAGAATGCTCATTAGAAGTCCACCTGCGGAGCGAGCGATTTAGAAGGCCCGGACTCTCAGCTGATCGGCTTCGTGGCGCGGCTCGTTAATCGCGCTGACTTGACACTATTCGCCGAAATATTACTGATCCTCACTGACGAAATTTCTCGTCGACGACTGCGGTCGCAGGGGGGGATCGCGCGGCGTGCACGCATCACTTGGGCACTCGAGAGTCGTGGAATGCTGCTCTGAATGTTTTTGCTCGAGCCGAAATTCGTTAGCACCGGACACCAGTCGCGCGACGCGGCCCGTCGTCGCCCTTATTAATACTTATTGCGTTCGTGACGTTTTCCTGCGTTTTGTTCTCTATATGGGAACGCCGTCATAAGGATTCGGGTTGGTTTACTATTATTACGTTTGGGCACTTGGAGAACCTTTGCGGCGGGATACACGCGCATCGGCCGCGACCGATCCGCGGGCATTACTCGCCTTGCAACGGTCTAACTGTGAAGAGATTGCTCTATATTTTTTGCGGCGGGTCACTTCACGTCACATCGCATTACGGGTATCGCTCGACCGAACCCGACCGCGCTGACCGCACGCGAGCAGACTGCGATCGTACTGTGTCGTATCGCATTACTCACCGTTCGTTATTCAGGTGTAATAACGAATAGCATTGGTCAAAGTCAAAAATCATTTATTCATGTAGGTAACTATGTACACATATGAACGTCACAAAATTAAAAAATCTAACTTGACATTTACTACCAGTTCTCAAATCAAAGGCGACTGAGAAGAACTGGCAATGAACTCGTCGCCGCTCCTTTTATCGCCAAGTTTAATTTTACATTCTTTATGACTTTAGTGCACTACATTGCAACCCTTTCCAAGCAATTTTTGTTTTACATACGATTTAAACTTATTTATTTAGAGAGCTCGCACTTCGCTGGGGATTTTATTAAAGTATCGTACGTATTTCAAGGTTAGGAAAAGAACTACTACTCCTTTACCGGAGCCTTTTGTTTACACTTATTTTGTCCTTATTACGCGTAAGGTACTGATAAAAGCTGCTATTTGTTTTAAAAGTATCTACGTTTTTCCTCACATACACAACATTTTCATAGATATATTTACTTGCCAGCGTTAGAATATTCAATGCTAAACTTATATCGAACAGACTCGTTGGGAAAGACCACAAATGGCTCGAATAGCCCGTTTCTGCAAAACAACTATGGTTTGAATATCGGCTGCATTGCCCCACAAAAGGATACCATAAGACATTACATAGTTATACCCAAAATACAGCATTTTCCTATTTCCTCAACTTTTATTTGAATACTATCATTTCTATTTCATACTTAAGGCATTTACCAACAGATTATTTGTGTTAAATCAAACAACTATGGAAATGGCGTTTACATTGTCCATTGATACATTTTGTCAAAGTTGTCAAAGTGCAGTGTCATCAGCAAACAGCACTATTTCGTGGAGCTCATTAACATAAGATGCCAAATCATTAATATAGATAAGAAATAGGAATGGTCCAAGTATAGACCTCTGTGGTACGCCCATTGTTACAGACGATCCTGCGGAGATAGCATTATTTATATAAACTTTTTGATTTCTACCATCTCAATATGATTTCATCAGTTTCAACAACTCCATAATGTTGAAGCTTTCCCAGGCGTCCATTACTACGTTCGGTATCTAGTCTGTCCCCAAATGCAATGTGAATGGGAAAAAGCAATGGGGATAATTTAAAAATGTTTTTAATTATAATCATAATTTTTAATTCATTTGTCAGGAATAATGTACGAACCGTGTGATCAGGCACTGTGTATATTCTTCGACTTAACACGTCTTATTCTAACTAGTAAATCGGTTTAACAGGACAAATAAATCTTAGAGATCTCTTACTTCGAGTGAAATCAAAAACGTGCAAAGAGAACTAACTGGTCGTTGAAATCGGTCGAAAATAAAAGAAAGTCTAAAATAATGCACATTTATTTATCACAGGCTAAAGCCGAAGGCGCTCGTGAAGCGGACACCCTTTGCGTTGGCAACGTGTAATAACTACGGCGGCGACTCCGGCCTTCCTACATCTATATACAGGAATGATTTATGGTACGTATCACAAGTCCGAGCCTCGCTCCATCCCTAATTATTAGTCATTACTCCTATTACGTTATAAATTAATTATAAATAGACAATACAATAATTTAACTAGAGACCCCGCCGATGCAGTGGCGCGATAGATTCGCGCGAACCGTGCAATGGCGTCGTACTCGTCGAGTGTAGCGACATGTACACAGAACGTATAGTAATTCTCCACGTACAGTGATGACGGTTTAAAATTGTATAAGAGGTGTTATACAATAAATGCGCACGGTTCGCTCGAGAGGTGACCCTCTTCGCTACATAGCCTTATGTATCGAGGAGCCACATTGCAATTTGTGATGCAGCTACTACATCGTAGATTCTAATATAAATAAACGTCACAAAACATCTAAACACAAAGTGTTCGTAATCGTATACGAATCAAGTCTCGACGCGTCGCGCCACTTGTCCCGCTAGTGCCGTCCAAGCGAGCTGCTGAGCAGGTCTGCGATAGCGCGCGCGGGCTCCCCCGTCAGGATGGAGCGGTGCGTGCCGGGCAACTGGCGCACGTCCAAGGCGCCCGCGCACACGGTGCCCAGCCCGTAGTCTGCCGCAAGTTCGACGTAGTTGTCGCGCGCCGTGAACAGCGTCACCGGTGCGCGCACTTTTCCCCTCGGCCGGTACGCATCCGCGACGACCAGCTTGCGGTAGAAGGACTCCGCGGCGGCTGCGAGGGTCTCGGCGTCGACGCCAACGCCGCCGACCAACTCTGCGACGCGCGCCACTCGCTCGCCCCAATCGGCCAGCCGCTCCAGCTCGGCGGACATTGTGGGGGCGTCCACGTCGAGAAACAGCTGCGCGAAGTACGTGAGAGCGTCCGCCTCGTCCGTAGCGGTGGACCGTTCGGCGCGGCGTTGGATGCCGCGGGTGGTGTGCGCAGCAACGAACTCGGGGGATCCGTCGACGAGCACGAGGCGCGTCTCGCAACCGCTCTGCGGAGTTACATGACATCAGTGGAAATCAAACGTAGTATTTTAAAATGTCGTGGTTCGAAATAGAACGCTCACCTTCTCGAGTTGTAAAGCCATTTCGAAAGCCACGCCGGCGCCGAATGAGTAGCCGACCAGCGTGTAGGGCGGCAGCGGCTGCACGGCACGCACGTGCTGCACGTAAAAGGCGGCGAGTTCGTGCAAGTCGGTCAAGGGCGCCGCGCGCGTGCACTGCAGGCCGTACACGGCGCCGCGCACGTGCCTCGCCACGCCGCGCAGCATGTCCACGACGCCCTCTATCGGGTGCACCTGTGGCCGGGGACGGTGCAAATTTATCGCTGCCGCATGTTTTTTGTATAAGAGAACCACAATTCAGATAGCGAAATCTCACCATAAATACAGGCGGTCTATCAGCGTCGCGCTCGTCGCTCGGCAACTTGACCACCACCTGCTTCGGCATCAGTTCGCCGAGAGAAGCCAAGTTGATGATCTCGTCCGCCCCCTGTTCATCGGCTGGGGCGCCTTCGCCCGCTACTTCCTCGCCGCCGCCGAGAGCGCGCAATTTTGCGAACGTAAGCGATCTGATCTCCTGCACGCCCAACACCAAATCGTAGCCGCGCTCCAGCGTCTGTTTGATCTCCGCTCCCATCAACGAGTCCATACCTAATTCGGCGAGGTTAGCCGATTCCGATATTTTGGAAGGATCTTTGATTCCTGCGGAAGAGCCGATCGAGTGAGCGGGGCGTGACTATATTACTTATTGTTCGTTCTGAAGCAGTCGCTCACCGAGTATATTCGCCACGGCGTGCACGAGGTCGTGCGTGGGCGCCGCGGCGGAGCGGCGCTTGTCGGCGAGCACCATGCAAGCCGTGACGGCGTGCGGAAGCGCTAAAAGTGCACCCAACGACTCCAGGCACGACGTCATGCGCTGCGGCACCGTGCCGCCCACCACGGCTTCGTCTCCGCCCATCGTGTCCATAATGAGGCCCACTTCACCTGTAAAACGACTGGTCTTTAAATCATTCAACTTCAACGAACTACATTTGTTTGTTACTCAGTCTTTTTAGGCAGTTATAGCTCACCGATTGCGCCCCACTGCACCGCGAGCCCCGGCAATCCGTCTTTCTGGCGCGCCTCCACGATGCGCTCCATGGCCGAGTTGGCGAGACCGTAGTTGCTCTGGCCCGGGTTCCCGCGACCGCACGACACTGACGAAAACGCCACGAAGTACTCCAGCTCGGGGCACAGCTCTCGCGATGCCGCGTCTAGCGTTCTAGTAGCTGAAAGGGAGAAGCGCACGGCTTATAACAAATGGCACGTAAATATTGTCGTCCTCCCTTCGAAGTCATTAATCTACATTTCGAATAAATATATCGAAACTTTCAACATATTAGTAGAATAGTTATTTTGAGTATCCAAATTTTTTTTTCCCGCGTTGGGGTCATTTTTTTTGAACACTTCAAGAAGAATCATTCTCTTATACATATTTATCACGCAATGTAGCATTCCTCAATAATTGCTTTAATCAACACAAAAAGAATTCGAACCAGTAGTTCCTGAGATTAGCGCGTTCAAACATACAAACTCTTCAACTTGATATCTTCTATAGTAAAAAAGAAAGACAACTTTAGACAACAAAAATAAGCAAACAACATATAAAAATATTTTATAGAAAATTGTTTATATAATTAATATAATAGTAATCAATGAGAAATACATGTGCATCGCAACTGGTGTATAAGATAGCCCGTGCCACCCTCACGTCGCTTGGTGGAAGGAAGGTCCTGCTCTATTAAGCTAGCCAGGACAATTTGTTGTAATTGATTCTAGGTGTTTAAGAAATTTCCTTTGAATTAAGCCCCGATTGATTGGCTAGGGCCTCGTTTAGTAGAGTATATGAACTCACCGTCGATCTTCGGTGCGGCCACCGCGCGGAAGTCGTCGGACGTTAGGTTCTCGAGGAAGGCGTCGCGCAGCACGGCGGCCAGGTTAAACAGCCCACCCACCGGCGCCAGGCCCTTCGCCTCATGGAGCAGAGCGCGCGCCCCGGAAGCGCTGCATACGTCCGCCGTCGATATTAGAACGCGCACTCCCCGTTCACGCCACCGGCGTACGCACCAAGACTGGTAGCCCGTGCGAACGCCGCTTCGCGAGTTGAGCACTAGCGCCCGAGCCCCGCGCCTCACCAACCAGTCCGCGAGCTCCAAACCAAAGCCGCCCAATCCGCCCACTAAAACGTAGCTTTTGGCGGGATGCATGTACGTCCGCGGAATGGCGGCCACCGGCTCATCGCGAATTCGGAGCACCACTTTCCCGATGTGTTTGCCGGTCGCCATGTAGCGGAACGCCTGTTCGAGCTGCTGGTCGCCGAAGACGGTGGCGGGAAGCGGACGGACCGCTCCGTTCGCTATTCCCTCGTTGACACAGCGCACCACGGCGAGTCGCTCGGGGTCATCGCCAGCGGCGTCGAAGAGCGCGTCCAGAAGGATGCCGTGAAATGTGGTATTTTTCAGGAAGACGGCCATGCCGAGCGGTGTGTTGTTGGAAAGGTCCAGCTTGCCGATCTCGAGAAAGCGGCCGCCTGGCGCGAGGCATCGCACCGAGGCGGCCAGCTTGTCGGCCGCGAGCGAATTCAACACGAGGTCGATCCCGCGACCCTGAGTGCGCTCTAGAACCAGCTGCTCGAAGGATGTATCACGAGAGTTACCAATATTCCCTTCGGGCAGAGTGGGGAACCGCTCGCGGAGAAAAGCGCGTTTGTCTGGCGTGCCTACGGTCACGTACACGGTGCAGCCCGCATGCAGAGCGATCGCGATGGCCGCCTGACCCACGCCACCGGTGCCCGCATGGATGAGCACCGACTCGCCGCGTCTCATGCGGCCGCGCACCGACAGTGCGTAGTATGCGGTCGCGTACGCGACCGGCACCGTCGCCGCCTCCTCCAAGGTCCTACGGTTATTTCACACGATTAATATATATTATTCGAAAAATTTGTAGAATATTCGCTAGACCGATGAGCACTGACCACTTATCGGGAACCTCCCAGAGAAATCCTTTGTCCGCGACGACGGTGGTGGCGAGTCCTCGCGCGGCCACCATGCCCATAACTCGCGCGCCGTTCGAAGCGTGTCCGCTGAACTCCAGACCCAGAATGCACTCTTGGCCGGCGAGATTTCCAGGGAGAGCGTCGGGCGGGAGTTTGCCGGTCGCGAGCATGATGTCGCGGAAGTTGAGCGGTGCGTAATGTACGCGACAGAGCTCTTGCGAGGCGCTTAAGCCGACAGTACCCGCATAACGGAGATCGCTCTCGATCCACCGCAGCGAGGAGAGGTCACCTCGCGTCAACGTGTTCACATAGGCGTGCTGCACCTAGCCACGTCGGAAACAAGTATTCAGAGTGAGTGATTAACTTCATTATAGCTCGCTTATATTGTTATAGATGAAAAGAAAATAGATTATTTGTCAACGCAAAAAATAGAACGTAAATCTTTGTCGTGTCAAATTTAAATGGTCTTTGTCTTTCCCAAAGAAAATAATTTGTACTATTTGCAAAACTATTTTAGAAACCAGTGAAATAGCCAATAGATTATTCACATTCAATAACAACATAAACATTTATTTTTCCAAAAACTCACCTGCAGTTGAGCCTCAGCGGAATCCGAAAGTAGCAAATGCCTGTAAGAGCCCCAAACGCCAGCGCGCAGTACGTTAACCGCCAAGTCCTTGGACACCTGCACGCGGTAGGCTGGAGCGTCCGGACGGAAAGGCTCGCGGGCGCCGGGCAGGAAGTAGACGCGAAGGCGCGAGCCTCCCGCTTCGCCGCGCAGGCACGTGCCCAGCCCCAGAATTCCGCCGGTGGCAACGCGTGACACAGCGTACACGAGCATCTCTTCGCTCTCCGCGCGCTGCAGAGCCTCCCGCAGACGCTCTACCCACCCGTACGCCTCGTCGTCTACTTCCACGACCACGCTCTTCGCCGGAACCTGCCGCCTGCGTCGAAGCAGTAGGTACTCGCAATTGGCAGCCGGTTGCCTTGCCAGCGACTCGAGGCCGGCCCGCTCCAGCGCGTCCATTGCACTGCGTTCATCGAGAGCGCCGTGGGGCTCCTCCAGCAGCAGCATACCGGTGTCGAGTAGCGCAGAAGATAGGTGCGCTAGGACACCTGGGCCGTGTCGACTTAACACGTCCGTCGCCAACACTAAGTGACACTCGGAATCCGGAGGTCCAGAGGTGCCATCCTTTTGACTAGTCTGCGGAAATATATCAATGGCACATTTCTATACTATGTTTATATATACGAAAATATGTATTTAAAAACCGATTCGCCTTCGGCCAAACACTGCACGGAGATTAAAAAATTTATGATCTCACCTTAGCGCCCAACGTTTGCGCCAGTGCAGCGTAAGCGGCGTGCTTCGGTCCGGCGGCCAGCGTGGCGTCCACGCGCACCTGCGGCTCGGCTTCCAGTGCCGCCAAAGCCGGTGACGACAGCAGCGCCTCGGCACTCCGCCCCAACACCGCTTCGCACACCTTCAAGCGCAGCGTGCCGGCGTTCTCCAGCACGAGCTGCACGCACGCTGTGACGGCGTCGCGCTTGGTTCGCGAAGTGTCTTCGCCGGCGACACGCCCGTTCTCGTACGGGAGGAACGCATACTTCTCGAGCTTGGGCGCCGGCTGCGGGTTGGCCCGGCGCGGCGCGAGGCTCGTTTTTACGCCGCGAAACTCTATTCCACCCGCAGAGATGACGTCGATGTTGCGGCGCATGCGCACCTGGATCGCAGGGCCATCGGCCGCCGCGAGCGCCGCCAGGTGTGCGCCGGGGTCGATGAGCGCGCGCTGCAGTCGCGTGGGCAGGTACAGCTGGCGCGTGTCCACGCCTATTATGCCAAATTGAAGCATCGTATCCATGAAAGCGATCCAGTTGTCGTTCCAAGCGAGCTCACCGACTGCGCCGCGAGGGTCCGACGCGACGATGCCGCGGAAGATGCCTCCGTAGTTGTAGCCGCGCAAGCGCAGTTCCTTGTAGACGTCGTCCGTGAGCAGCGGAAGGGAGCCAGGCTCCGCCATGGACGGGTTCGGGGGCGCGGCGGTTAGACGCTCCGCCTGAGGGTCGTCTGCCAAGCGAACTGTGCCCGTGACGGCCACTCCGCCTCCTTCGCACACCTCAAAGTCGCCCGCGCCAGTCAAGATGTTTACGAGGAAGCGCACGGGCGTGTCGCGCGAGACTATCGTTGCTCGCTTGAACTGCACGTTCTCCAATACCACCGCTGTCTCTTCCAGCTTCTTGTTATTTATCTTTGCAATAGTTTTCCAGACCAGCATCTAAAAAGACAAGAAAGTCAGCTTTAAAATTTCGAAGCCTTTAAAGTCTCGAAGACGAGGCACCTCAACGCGGGCACTCACCAAGTAGCCGGTAGCCGGGAAGAGGACGCGCCCGTCGATGTTATGGCCGGAGATATAGGAGTCCTCGGTTTTGGAGAGGTCGTATTCGATGACGTTCTCACCGGAGCGCGCAGATCCGAAGTCGGCAACGCTCCACTCGATGGAGTGGTCCCAGCGCACTCGCGAGGCGAGCCCGGGCGTGCCGCGAGGTACCGGGAACGTCACGGCAGGGTAGAGCGCCCCCACATGCGGCTGAGCTCCAGCCGCGTATAGGCGACCGAGCGCGGCCAGCAAGTGCGCGCAAGGGTCGCTGGCGTCACGGCGCACCAGGGGTACGTGGGCGGCTGACGGCGCCGGGCGGGCTCGCTTCAGCACCGCCTGCAACAGCGCGTGCGGGGCGATCTCTACCAAGATAGCACGTTCCGGCACGGCTTGCAACGCCTCCGCGAACCGGACCGGCGACAGCAAGTTGTTTACGTGGTACGCCGCGTCGCTCAGTTTCGCTGAATTATATCATAATATATAAAAATAAATAAAAATGTTCAAGTATAACATAACCAGAACACTAGTTAAGCCAGTGAGCCGAAGAACTAATACGTCCAATCTCCTATCTCGGAGAGATATTCACCGATATCAGAGTTCCACTGGCTCCTCGGCAGAGAAGAGGAGACCCAGCGAGGCGAGCGCGGCTTCGGGTGAGGAATGACGCGCTCCAGACTGGCGCGCAGCAAGGGCGCGGCGGCCGCGATGTACTTGCTGTGAAAGGCGACGCCGGAGCTGTTGACGCGGCGAGCGAATCCGCCGCTCGAGCTGACCTCTGCGACAAAAGCGGCGACGGAGTCGACAGGGCCCGACACGGTGACGCTGTCAGCCGCGTTGTGGCACGCCGGAACGACGTCGGGTGGCAGTCGCTTTTCGCAGTCCTCCCACGAGAGGCCGACGGCCGCCATTGCGCCGGGTGGCAGCTTCGCGTCCACAATGCTGCGACCCCGCCAGTACGCCGCTAACACCGCCTGTTCACCGGTCAGCGTGTCGTCGGCGTATGCGCAACCTGTCGATCAGAAGTATTAATATTACGAGCAGAGTTCCGACTGACGCCCAGCGGATGGAGTGGAACGACAACCTACCGATTTCGCCGACGGAATGCCCTATAATGCCGTCGGGCACGACGCCAATCGTGCGCAGGACGTCGACGAGAGCGACTTGCACGGCCGCGATGGAGACGAACGAGTTGATGACGTCGTCGAAGGCCGCATCTGGGGCGTCAGTCAACAGGTATACGAGGTCGATGCCGTGCGCCCGCAGGGCCACCGCGCTACGCTCCACGCTACGCGCAAACACGCCCACACGCAGGAGCGTACGCGCCATGCCCGCCCACTGGGACCCCATTCCTGAGAACACGAACCAGACCGGCCGCGGCTCACCGCTCTCTGCCTCCTGCAATCAAGTAAATCTACATTTTCCTGTATCGTTTTATTTACTACATCTTCGAAACAAATAAGCAATCGCAAATACTGAAAAAGAAATTTTAGTCACTTGTTGTGGCCATTGTTTTTTAATATGCATTTTATTTTATTGTTTCATTACACAATTTTTTTATGTTTTTACACACATATCCGTTAATAGTTGTATGATCTCCACTTACGAATATCTCTTCGAGCGGGAGGTCGGCGAGAAGGCGATAACCGCGATGCGAATGTCCGGGGATGTTCTTCGCGTGGACGGAGTCGAGCAAAGCGTGCAGATACTCGTCAGAGGCGTGCTCGGCCCCTAGCGCAAGCAGCTCGCGGACCGCGTCTTCCGTGCGTCCCGAAGCGATCAGGAGGCGCGGCGAGGACACGGTCGCGGGTCGCTGTGCGGCACGGGGGCTCGCCGGCTCGGACTCAAGGATAACGTGCGCGTTGGCACCGCCGAAGCCGAACGAGTTGACCGCCACCAGACCGCCCGGCCACGCCGTATTTCGGTCTACTACCTGTCGCCGAATACAGGATCGCAATTAATATGTAAAAATTGGAGCAGAATCGGTTTAAGTCGGGCACATTGAATCTAACCTGTATGCGACCGTCGTTGAGCGCCGGAATATCCGTGTTGGGGGAGGCGAAGTGCAAGTTGGCCGGGATGCGGCCGCGCTCCATGGCCACAAGCACCTTAGCGATCGAACAGAGACCGGAGGCCGGCTCGGAGTGACCCATGTTCGATTTCACCGAGCCGAGCAGCAGTGGCGAGGAGCGGCCCGGGCAAAACAGTTCCGCAATCGCGTTAACCTCTTGCGGGTCGCCCACTTTCGTGCCCGTTCCGTGAGCCTCGACGTAGGCGACGTCGCGGGGTCGAAGACCCGCCTCGCGGAAAGTCTCCTCGGCGAGGCGGCGTTGCATGTCCCCGGAAGGAAAAGTGATACCCTGCGGCTTAAGTCCATCCGTATTAGTGCGAGCGGCGCGCACGGTCGCGTAGACGCGCCGCGCCACCCCGCGTCTTTGCAAAAGAACGGCGACCACCGCCTCCGAGCGAACATAGCCCCGCCCGCCGGCGTCGAATGCGGCGCAGCGCCCCTCCGGAGACAGCATGCTCAGCCGGTGGAAGTTGAGCGACGTCGCCGGCTTCAGGCAGAGGTTGCAGCCGGCGACGACCGCCGCGTCGCATTGGCCGGCGCGCATCGCGGCCACCGCTTGCGCGAGCGCGAACATGGAGCTCGAGCACGCCGTATCGATGGCGTACGAGGGACCCTTCAGGTCGAAGGTGTATGAGAGGCGGTTGGGGAACATCGCTCGACAGCAGCCGGTGAGCGCGTAGCCGTTGATCTTGTCGGGCTCCTGCGTCCACATCTCCTCAGTCTCCGAGTTGGAGACCCCGACGAACACGCCGGTGCGCGAGCCGCGCAACTCCGCCGGGTTCAGGCCGGCGTCCACGATGGCCTCGTGCGTCACCTCTAGCAGCAGCCGCAGCTGCGGATCCATGAGGTGCGCCTGTTTCGCGTGAACGCCGAAGAAAGTGGCATCGAAGTGCGCGAGATCCTTCAACTTGCCATTCCTCTCGGGTAGTCCGTGGAGACCTGTACAAATCGCTCGAGTTAGTCGACGTATATTATGTATGTATGTTCCATTATAATTATTTCATAAAACTTAACTAAAATACCGACAAATAATAACTTACTAAACAAATAGATAAAAGAGGCCCCCGTAGATAATAGATAATATTATACCATTTTAAAATTCTTAAAATCTAGATTATAATGTAGATACGGCATGCAAACAAAGTTTACGTAGTTAAGAAAACAATAAAAAATATATATATTTATTAAACAGGTTTTCTCCGTCTCGTTGACGTCAACGCGTCTATAATGGAGATATTTAATACGTATTATAAAATGAAGGTCGACTGCGAAATTACTCGATCGAAAACAAAAAAATATGTACTTTCATTAATCGAGGAACCTCTAGAAAGGACATCCCTATTTTAAATTTCATAATAAACTTCTACGATCATTAGTAGTTTTTTTAATTCGACGTCAGAGCCGTGAATCATCACCGCTTGAGAACAAGTGAGAGTGTGACGTCATCGCAGCACATCACACCACCGCGCCGTCGACGCTTGCCCAGGTGCACTTGTCTTGTAAGAGTCACTCGTTGTAAAAAAAACTGTACCACAACATGGTGTATGATCAAAAAAGATGTGCTCTATGCTAATGTTCAAAAGGCGACGATCGAGCGCGCTTCAGGCCGTTTCAAATATTTCGGGAGCCTTGGGTTAGAGCGTTTCCTATACCTCACCTCATAAAGAAATACACAATTACACAATTAATCAAAATCAACCTTTTCCGGATAGAGATTTGCGAAAAATTTATGATGCGAAAAGTTAATGATTAGAAAAAACTCGTAATATAAATTTAATTTCACGAGTGAAAATGAATTTAGTTAAATTCTGTATGCATTTTGATTTCAAGGGCGTCGCATTTCCAGGAACACGAACAAAGTAGACGACTGTGCCAATATGCGGCGGACACATCTAAATGCTTGTTTCTTGGATTTTTTTTACCGTACAGTGTTGTGTTATGTAACAGGACTGCCACTTAATGTTTTTGCTTGGTCAATCAGATTGGGCCTTCATTGTTCCTTCATTGTTGTGTGATAAATACCTATATCTATTTATATCTAGACAATGTCAAAGAAAAAAATCTATCTCTTTGTAGTATTCTTGTGTAATTCTCAGTGGTAGGCTATTCGTTTGAATCGTTTTTATTTAATTTGTGGGTATACTACTAGTGTCTTGTCTTTCAGACTCCCACAAATCTTTTCGATCTGTTTGGCGACCTGGGCGGCGATGCGACGTTGTAAAACCATAACATTATTAAAAGAGATAAAGTCGTTCGGTAATAATCCTGCTATAAAACAATTTCTCAGAGATATCGAATATTAGACATCGTACGATATCTGACGACAACTGTAGTTAAGCTACAAACAATGAATTAAGGAAAACCTACAGACTGCGGTTTGACGGCGGCCCGTTAGCGTCAACAACTCAACAGGATAAAAACAGGAATATTTTCGTGTTATGAGGCAGGAAACCGTCTTTAAAGACGGACAGCTCACTCCAGGAAAATATTTTATGCTATGCCAAATTACAGAAGAAACCAGACAAACGAACGATGCTATTGCGTAGCACAATTGTTGATTATAACTAAATTCAGAGTGTCGACGTCGGCTTCGACTGTAGCGAATTCACATGTACAATTTGCCCACAAAACGAACGACCGGATGCGTTCTTCGACTTTCGATGTCGGCGAGGAACGGCGCCTGCGCCTTTCAATCTTATGTTTTGCGGGTCTATCACTATCAACGGGCCGTGGATTTGATTCTCACCGGATCCATCATGTTGGAATTCGTCTGGAAATCTGGATATTAAATCGACGGTAAGAATATCGAAATTCCGTGCGGGTGACGAACCACCGTCCACAGATGAAGGAACCGTGAAATCTCATCGCGTTTCGGTTTCTGTTTGTTGATATCCGATTATCCAAACGCCATAATAAGTCGTCGACAACGCATCTCGTGTAAATGTTATACACCCGAGGTGTTTCACCTTTTTTCGTGTCCTCCTCTATCATAAGAAAAGAAAAGTAAAATTTCTAAATATAGGATTTAAATATTAACCGCACCTTATTACGCTTATAACGTGGAAAGAGAAATAAATCTATACACGATTAGTCCAATTTACAGCGAAAATACTAATTTATGTATTTATGTGCAATAGGAAACAAACAATTTATTATAAGAAAAACTCACCCGGGGTCCATCGGCGGTCGTCGGCGGTGACCAGGTCGACGCCGTCGAAGAGCTGCCGAGCGAACTCCTCGATGTTGTCCGACTGCGGCAGGCGCCCCGACAGCCCGGTTAACACCACGTCGTCCTCGGGCTTGGGGCCCGCCCCGTTTACCACAGCGCTCGGCATATCTGAAATTGACCACTCCGTTTGAGACGTCGCGAGACTGAAGGGGACCGTTTTGCACAGAGCAGCTCGCGCCGAGTGAAGCTGCGCGCGAAGCGCGCTCGGTTAAAACGGCGCGATAGCGGGGTCGCGCTCGCCACCACGTTTCCACGAGACCCGCGCCTTATCGCGGTGCCAAGGACGACGAAGGTCACGCTGCGCTTTTCCTAGTCCCGCCGTTTCGCCCACCACGGAGCCCGGCGCTACGGCACCGCGGACGCGGGTCGAGCGCCGGCGCAGCTTTCTTCGGGCTGTCGACGCGACTCGATCGACCGTAAAAGCAGTCTTGACCGATTCGACCTCTAAGCCGATATCTCCGATGCCCTCCGATCGCCCGACCCGCACCTTCGCAGAGATTATCATATATAATAATATTATTATGGACTTCGACGACAAATCACGCGTCGATTTATTGCGTTCGACATTCGGTGCTCGTCTGGGGGGGGGGGGGCTCGTATAATGGCTAATACGTCCAAATGATCCCAGCATCATTGTGTTCCAATTGAGGCGTATTTGACTTTTCCATTCTCGTTTGTGGGGGTGCAGTCGCACGATGGCAGCGCACATATAGGTCGTGAAGGTCAGTGTCCTTCGAGGAGTACAAATCCCATTATGTTCTGATAGACGTCCTCTTTATTAAACTCGCCCTTAATTTTACCGGAACCTCTGTCGCTTATCAACTTAATACCTGTTGTCATAAGGAAGTACGTCGTGTCGACTTTCGAAGACGTTTTTGTCGGTTCTTTGTGGGCGAATCCAATATTCAAATATATACCCTTCTTAAAACTTCCACTAATAAACTAATCGTAGTTGAGAGAATGAACTAGAGATGCAAATACATACTACTGATAGAACAGCGTAGATTGGTCACGTATCGTTGCCCTGATGGAAACTTTCAACACCTTCCCTAGAGTGGCTTTTAAATTTCAGTTATGAATATTACAAAAAACTCTCTAGATGGTTAGCGTGCGTTTAGGTATAGCTCCTCGCATCTAAGTTCTTAATGAAACGGGTGTTTTAATTTACTACAAAACATGGAAAAATCGCCCAACGCCCAAACCTAACTCTAATTTAGCGTTTCGGTTACACTGTGAAGGCATATAGATAGATAGGGATAGTGATCTTTAAATAACTACAGGCACAATATATGATTTAACTTAAAAAAAAGGAATGGCAAGGATCAAAATATAACATGATTTGTAATGGTCGATATCTAGTGTAATACACAATTTATCATTGTATTCGTCGTTTCAAAGTTTTCCACGAGTTTGTCACTTTCGATTCCCAGATATTCATAAAAATTTAACACCCTGCTGGGTCACAAATATTGAAATATTACGCTGCACTGCTGAATATGCGATTTAACCCGAATTATATGTACCTTTAATGGCAGGAGGTCACCGACCTTGCGAACATTTCTTATCGAAGGGTTAATTGTAGGTAGCTAGTGTCAGTCAAAAGCTAAACACCGTAAGCCACTATACGTGAGTATCCGTTCACTAGAAATAGGTAATATATTATCATAGGCATGGGTAGTAGTTATCCTCTCATGGCTTTGGGTAGGTCTCGTAAACGAGAATTTCAAGTAACATAATATACAGGAGGTATTCTTTTCCGTTCGGAAAATAATAACAAACAATTAAAAGTGCATACCTATGTGTGAGTAATTAAAAAGGGTACAAGTGGAATCCTTCCTTCAGGAGTGATCTAAAGGATTCGCACGAATCTGGCGTGAGCCTTCGACACTCGACACTGACACTGGAATCGTATTACGACGATAAACAAATAATTCGCGTCGCGGTCGGATCGTTTTCTGTATTAGAATATCGACCGGCACGCGATCTATATTCGTGTAGATAATAGTACGGAAGTGTTCCGCGCGAAACGACAGCGCTCGTCTACGCCTCGAAGCAGACTCCTTGTGCGAATATGTAGCGGGTCGCGGGGTGTCGCGGGGCGAGGCCGCTCCCCGTTGCCATGGTGTGAGATCAGGCCACGTGCACGCGACCAATGGCCGCCTCTCATCCGTTCGCACTTCGCGTCGGGCTGACTCGCTCGAGTGACTCGCCGGCGACGCACGCCGCGCATTCGTGACAGCCGCTGTCCACTGGCCGGCGTTAGGCATGTCCGCTACACTGGCGCGACACGTCCGCGAGCGATGGAGCCTCGATAAAGATATCTTCGAAATTGACCTCCGCCTTCATCCGACCTAGTGTCCCTAACTATAACCACTATTCGTTCAGCTATTGCCAAAAGGAAGCGTAAAATTTCCTTTGTCTATTTTCTTGTACGCTGACACGGTGCCAATGGAGTGCCAATTTTTATTATAGAAAACAAGTGAGTGTAATATTTTGATATAAATTAAAGGCGTCCCTCAATAAGACAATGTTAAATCGACAAAGCTGTGTATCAGTAATTAGGTCCTACATAGGCATTCTATCATGATTTTTAGTAAAATGTAATAGGTATATAATATAATCTGAGATAGATCTGTTGATGTATCATTATAAATAAATATTTTATTAAAATACTAACATTCGATTTTTTTATTGACGTGCACTTCCAATAAAGGTAACAAAACTCCAAAGAGTGTAACTAGCTATTGCCGTTTTAATTGCTGTGAATAAATAAATAAAACATAAATATTGCCAGTAGTAGTTTTCGCGTGGACTTTGCTTATAGTATCTAATAGATCACAATAATCCGGTTTAATCGATATCTAAATGACGTATGTTATCATGTCTCCCCGTGACTACGGCTGCTGCAAAGCATCCGAAACGTCGGGCCGAAGGTAAAAATCGTTTTCAAATAAGTTTAACTAATATACCGCGTTTTAAACCGTTTAAAGTGTTTTATTTAAACATCTCCATTTGTGAAAGTATATTGTTTAATAATACCGTTTGATTAATTTGCTATCGAAAGCTTCTATGTCTTGGCTTGAATGTACGATTCCTGTCAAAACATCGTTTTTTCTGGTTATTTAAAAACTAAACCCAGAAATATTCTTAGGAAATCCCATTAAAGGATCATGGAAGGAACGGCTCGGGTATGATTTACAGTTGAGTTTACCGACCGCCAACGTCGAATTGAAGAATAGTATTTACGTATATACAAGGTAGATAAAAATAAATTAGTTCGTAATAATATAACGTATTATCTTTGCAAATTTATTATGGGCTCGTATAGTACATATGAGGCCGCTAGAGGCAGAGTGGCCTAGTACCAAAACTGCATGATTTTGTGTAAGAATTATTATGTTTACAATTTTTCACTGTCCAGATACATTTTTTGTCAAAATTGCGGTTAGGCTATTCTGCTTCTAGCGGATATATAAATCAGTATTACTATAAAGTATCACAGTTCTTTCAGCGTTTGGGCCCTTAGGGCGCGGTGGAAGCTTCGCTACACTGGCGGGGTCGATTCGTTGGGCTGAGCGGCGAAGTCTAGCACGACCTTGCCGCGAGCGTGGCCCTTCGCCAAGTGCTCGAAGGCGGCTGGCGCCTCCTGCCACGGGAACACCCGTTCCACTTGTACTTTGAACTGATTCACACATTAATTATTATCACATTAATGACATTCACATTTACGATCATCTCATAGTTTAGTCCAGACACGATACGAACCTCGCCCCGGTCGGCGAGCCGCCTCAACATCTCGATGTCGACGGCGTTCGGCATGAAATACGCCCAGCGCACGTGTGGAGGGCATAGCGCCCGGGACGGGGACTGCGCCGTGACGCGGAATACTGCAAGAGTCTGTGCGGCGAACGCGGTCGCCGCCGTGAGAGTGCCCATCGCGAGGCCTCGCTCGTCACACTCGCGCAGCAACGGCGTGCTCAGCGTCACATATCGCGAGAACCGCCAGGGCCGTGCGCTCGCTTCCCAACCGCCGGCCCCGCCGCAGTCCAGCACCACTTCAAACCTGCGTGGAAAAGTAACCATCAAGCGCGAGCTCACACGAAAGCGTCGAAGCTTCGAAGCGATAAGAGCTCACGGGCTGGCCTCCCGCAGGCGTTCGTCGCAGTCGGGAGAGTGTCGATCGAACGCGGCGACGGCGCCCAGAGCGGTCGCGGTGTCCGCCTGCTCTCCTGAGCAACTCACGTACACGCGTGAGCCGCGACGAACGAGTAGCTGCAACGCGGCCTGCCCCACCCCTCCGAGACCAAGAAGAAGGACAGGCGCGCCCCTCGCCGCACTGCCGGTCAACCCTGCTATCCGAAGCGCGCTAGATGCGGTGAGCGCCGCGTACAGCGCTCCGGCCGCCTGTAAGTTATCAAGCGCGTCAGGCGCCGGACCCGCCCAACGTTGCGGCAGAGCGACGTACTGCGCCAGCGAGCCGGGTCTGTGAGGGGGAAGTACGCCCCAGACGCGCGTGCCCACGGGCAACTTTGCCGTCCGCCCGGCTAGTTCTACCACGCCACTGAAGTCGCGGCCCGGCACCAACGGAAACTCCACCTCGGCGCCTTCAAACCGCCGAAGCACGTTTAGAACTCTAGAGCCATAACCACCTGAAATCAGAAGAGAAAAGTAATTTATTGATTTGCATACAACATGGAATAAGTGGCCATGTATTTCAATACTGCAGGTATTTGTTTAATTTTAAATACCAAACACAATGCAGAGCCATCCAGGCAGTCATTATCTATACAGGAAATACCCCTGCTCTAGTACTGATTAGTAGTAGATGCGTTGATTAAAAACATCAATGGTCACAAGAAAACAGATGTTCTAAGCAAATTGAACAAATCGTACTAAGTATACTGTTCTACCTAACTATCGCTCTAACTGCTGTTATTGTTGTTTATAATCATTTTATTTTAAGATATATTTCATTTTTGTATTTTGCTGCATTCTATTATTTTACTCTTCTGTTTGATGACCATATTACTATTATTGTAAGATCTTATAACACTCGGTGCTATTTCAATAATGATTTGGTATATGCGCATGTGCAAGTGGTATCGACAATAGTTGATATTAGTTGATCTAATAGTATGTTATATTAAATGCTGAATACAAAAATAATAACAAAAATCTGTACTTTACTAAATAGATGCACCCTTAAATGACAGCTTCAAGCTTGTAACACTACTGCTAAAACATGTACGCACCAAGCATAGCCAAGTCAATAGGGTTGAGGGAGGCAGCAGTCACTCGTACTAACACCTCGTCAGAGCGACGAATAGTAGGCATTCGGGCGCGCTCTAGGCGCACCTCGCCTGAACCGTAGGCGTGAGACCGCCACGCCGCCATTCTGCCTGCCATGACGGTTTTTCTATAACATTTACAAAACTTTTTTATTTTCAAACAAATTAAATTTTTTTGGCAATTTCTGTGAGATACATGCTAACAAATATATACCTAAAAGGACCTTGTTTGTATAATATGCATTGTATCAGAAATTGTATAACTTTGGTGATAGAAGGAAGAACACCTATAGATAAAATTAGGTCTTCATCTCACCCAGGGGCTATTATTACAAAATTGGTACAATACAATTTTCTGGCATTAGGGTCTTATTTATGATTAAAAAAATTTAAAATGTAAATAGTTACTAAAAGCTCTTAATTAAATGCACTTTCTTATTTCAACGTGTCAGCCGAAACTTGAGAATTTTAGTGTTTTCTTGACGACACAATATTACAATACTAACATAGTAGTTGTATAATATGTGGACTTATGACATTTTTTTAGTAATAACTAATACCACTTACTTCAAAGTTCATATCCTTCAATTGTCATAATGGCACGAATCCACCTATTTCTAATCATAGTTGTTTTTTGTAATCTTTATTGGCCTAGTAACGAGAAAATAGCTAACAACTTGAAAGTATACTTTACGATGGAACGGTTTAACCCTTAAATGCATGATTTTTTATTTAATTATGAAATATATATTTCAGGTTTATTGAGTTTGAGGCACAGATAAAGGGAAAAATATTTTTTTTTTTTAATAGTTATTCTGTTCTTCCGACATTTCTTGCAACACCCCTAGCCTAAATGTCAAGTGTCAACTAAGTTTCTTAATAAAAATCCCTAATAGTTACAATAGCCTAAAGTATATATATATAAAACTAAAATGTCTATTCAGTTAAAGGTGCTGACAATATTTTATTTGTAGGATTTGCGCACGCCGCAATGCCCGAGCGATGAACTCGGCGTTGTCTAGAGGCAGGGTGAGCGCAGAGCAACAAGATTTGCTATTGACTTTTATGGAAGAGCATCGCGATTTCGCGGCAGGAAAACAATCAATTTATTCCCGCTTTAGTGCAAGTAAGCTCTGGCGACTTCTCGCTGAAAGACTAAACGCCGCAGCGGCCGACACGGGCGGCGCCCGCAAATCCCCAGACAAGTGGTGCCGCTATTGGGCGGATGTGAAATACAAAGCGAGAAAGAAGTGTGCAGCTGGAGGCGCTCAAGGAGACCTCTCCACAGCTGAAGAGCGCCTTCAGAATATTCTCAATTGCAAAAACGAGTGTAAATATCAATTTAGGATCAATCCAGCCCAATAATAGATTTATTAATGATATTTGTTTTGACATCAAAATATTCACTATTTTGTCTTTAGGAATGGTGTTGGTTTAGGAATAATAGGAGATTTTTCTTAAATAATGGGATATTATTTAAGACTATGGAGTGCTAATTGATTTACTTCCTGAGTATTGTAGTTTTGTATACACTTTTTATAATAGAATAATAACTTATTGACAATGATAAAAGAATTGCTATACCTAATGACTGATTAAAATGACAGCTCAGAGTGTGTCAAGCAGTGCAGTTGGAGGTGGAGCATCAGACGAAGAACGCAAGCCACCTTTGGAAGAAGATATGTTTTCGGAGAGTGGCGCTGAGCCGCGTCTCGCCACCGAGGAGTTGCTAGCCGAGGCGGCCATGCGTACAGCACTAGCCGCAGAGAAACAGGCCGAAGCAGTCGTGCAGGCAGTTGACTTGCTTCGCGATCTCGTTTCGCTTTTGCGAGATCGTGCCGCGACCGTCACTCCCGCGCAGCATCCTGGTCATCCTCCACCAGCTGAGCTTACGCTCGCCATGCAGCATCAGCATCATCACCGTCTCTGACTTTCTTTGTTATTGTACAAGTGGTTATTCTATTACAAATCTATAAACCTACCGATGCTGTTTATTCTAATATTAATTTAACCTTACAAAACCTAGACGATAGACGCATGAAAAGCGCCCTCATCATTCATCTCGAGCGGGCATTGAGGGTTCGAGTGGTATTGCTAGTGGTGATTAGTCGAGACGAGAGAGAGCTTAAACCGAGCGAGCTCATGACGTCGCCGTAGACCTCATCCGCACGAAGGCGAGCGCGTGCGGCCCCGTGTTTGAGCACATCGCGCAGTAATCTGGGTCGAGCACGTAACTCAGTGGCCATCGAACGCACTGGCCCTAACGCGTCGCAAAGAGCGCTCGCCACGACACGCTTGTACTGCGCCGTCGTCAAACCTTCCACTTCTTGAACCACTTCTTCTGGCAGTTTGTCTTGCGCCAGACAATGTAATGTCACTAGGTTTGATACACCTGGACGAGAAACTGGGTCAAATGTCACCTGCCGACCACATGAGAGATTTATCTCTTTAAAACATACATTCCACAAATGGGTCTAGAAATATTAGGGTTATTACCTGTGGGGTGAAGTCAGTAACAGCTTTTCTAATTTTCAGATGTATGTTCTCATCAGAATCCGAAAGCATAATTCTGGACTTGAGGTCTGGATCAGACTTTGACATCTTTTTACTAGGATCGCGTAAGCTCTTTATTCGATCGCTGCCGTCGACAGGTAGAAGGGCTCGCGGCGTGGGGAAAACGCGACCATAACGATGATGGAAGGTGCGAACGAGTTGTGCGGCGAGCTGTAAATGCTGCAATTGGTCAGCACCCACAGGAACATGTGTACCTCGGTAGAGTAACACGTCCGCCGCCTGAAGCACAGGGTACAAAAGCAGGCCGGCACCCACCTCGCCCCCTTTCGCTGTACGCTCCCTATATTGTGGCAAATGTGCAAGGCGCGCTTGTGTGGCAAGGCAGGTCAGAACCCAACACAGTTCTGCGTGGCGCGGCACCGCAGACTGCGAGAAAAGTATCGTCCTGGCAGGATCCACGCCACTCGCCATCAAATACGCCGTGAGGTCCAGAGTGTGCTCTTCGATTGAAAATGTCTTTAAAAGGTATATTTAAATTTATTTCTTGTATAATTTTATTAAACATTTAAAGACGTTAAATATATGTGCTGTTTCTTAACCCTTAATTTGTATTCTTCAATAGTTATGGTATTGTTTTTAATTTATAACATAGAAATTTATTTTAGTTCAGATTAGAAGTCACTTAAGAGCATGTTTCACATGAAATTTTATCACTGATATACAATATAAAAAACTGAAAGAACCGACTATAAAATTATTTACCTGTTTAGTAGTTAGAGCATGTAAATCAGCAATGAACAACATGACGTCATGGCCATGTTCCTGTAATTGCACACAGCGGCGTACAGCTGCAAAGTAGTTGCCTATGTGCAGTGCTCCTGTTGGTTGCAACCCAGAAACAATTCTTTTAGGCCAGTTGCCTTCGTCTTTCAAATCACCCTGCAATGATGTTTCATCTGATTGCTCAACCACGACCTATGACATATATTATTACAGAATTATTGATATATAACTGACATATAAATCTCAAAAAGATGGATATCATTCATACCTGGCTCTCATGGGGTATTCCTCTTGAAGTTATAGATCTAAACGGAAAGTATTTTTTGACTGATCTGTAAACATCTTTTAAAAGAGTCATTTGGATAGTGATCGATAGCTTTCGTGTACTGCAATAAAGAGAGTTAGGTCAATTTACGATCCTTCTTTAAGGTTATGTTTTAAAAGTTTTTTTACTATTTAAATTATATCCTTTAAAAGGACAGTAGTTGGTCAAAAAATAGTTTGAAAAATTAAATACATTTTTTTTTGCTTCTGGATTTAAAGGCATTTACTAACCTTTGCGAGGAATATAATAGCTCTTGACATCGAGAGTATAAGTGTATATAATATCTATGCATCAAGTAAATATAAATATAATACGGCCGATGTAACTTGGCAGCTCTGAACAGAGGTTAGACTAACTTTGGCGCATGTACACTCGTAAAGAAAACTAGTACTGCCATTTATTTTCGTTACTGGGTTAAATGAAAAATTTTACCTATAGCAAGCAAAAGTAACATACCAATAATCGATTCAAAGAGAATAAGGGCTACGAACACTTATCTTTCACTAAAATACAGAGACAAAACAAAAATATAACAAAAGAGAAATAATAATATTAAATTTAACAATAAATAATCACTTTTCTAACGGACTGCGCTCAAGACAGAGATAACGAAATTAACACCAAGGATTGACCGAGACGCACTACTGTTTGCCGAATATGTACGAAGCTTTACGAAAGAACCAAATAGAGATGTCCATAAGCGATCCTTGTGAGTGTCGTTTAATATTCCTATTATAATAGACAAAATTGGTTCGTAGAAATATAATTTTATAAAAAGCCCTAAAGAAGGTATGAATAGTAATTATATAAATAATTACTCATATTTAACTAAATAAGGTAGTTCAATGATGAAAAAAGTTTTCAATGATTCTATTTTCCTTCCTTTAAAGATAATTATGGTATTGTTTATTAACAACACCATTCACTGTGTTCATCAATCCATTTAGTACAATATCTCATACGATTGAAAATCCACAATCTAAATCGATAAAAATCGATTGCAAAATTTAATAGAAAAAGCGGTCGATTGTGTTGACACTGAGTCAATCACTAGCGTAGATCTTCGTCCCGCGCCCCTCGCTCGTACCACCGTTAACATCCTAAAGAGTTACCAAGTTACAACGGCCGTACAGTATATTTTAGAAAGATTTAAGGGAATTTTATTGTTGCCAGTCGTTCACCATTATATTACACAGGTAATGTAATAGTAAACCACAGACTAAAAAAAGTAAAAATCGCGGCATATAGAATGTATATATTTAAAAAAATGTTCACGCTCTTATTTGAATCGAGCTAAAAAAACTTAAAACATAGACAATAGACATACAATATAATATGTGACAGATGATACGAAAGATAGAATACTTAATACACTGAAGTCAAAATTTAATATTAGAAGGCATTCAGCAGAAAGGAATTGTAAAATACGTTTTGTATTAGTAGGACGAGGACTGCTTATATTCGACTACTTTATATTGCGACAAGTGAAGATATGATGAAAATGACAATGTCGCATTGAATATTCACCCGTAACTTAGGTCTATAATAGAGACAGAGTATCTGTATAATATCTAATGTCATTTTTGACAAATCCAAGTTTTCATTGCTATTTGCTACTAGAAATATCATAATAAGTATTATAGAATGTACAAAGCCTTAGGGGAAAAATTATAACAATACATAATTAATTACATATCGTTCGCTGTTTAGACTTAAGTATTCAAGTCTTAAAAGGACACTAATTGGGCTATGTGAAGTTTACGAAATGTGGTGGTGGATTCTTCTTGTCGATCGGTAAACACAATGTCTATAGAGTACGTGTTAGTGAGTGAGGGCGAACAAGACGAGCCCATCGAGTTGCCGACAGAAGAAGATGGCTCGCTGTTATTGAGCACGGTAGCCGCGCAGTTCGCTGGCGCTAGTGGCCTTAAGTACCGATCAGGTGGACGATTGCGCGGCCTGCGATTAACCGACGAGCACGTACTTCCCCCTGCAGATGGTTGGGCCGCGAACCGATACTTCTGTGCCTTCCCGCGAGCCGACAGCACCGCTTTAATGCCCCGTCCCCGTTGCTCCGATCTCATAGTCCTTGGCTTACCGTGGAAAACTGGTGAAGAAGCAGTGCGCGACTACTTTGCTGCGTTTGGGGAGCTTCTAATGGTCCAAGTGAAACGCGATATGAAAACGGGTCTGTCTAAAGGTTTTGGTTTCATCAAATTTGCGGACTATGAGGCCCAAATGAGAGCACTCGGTAGGAGGCACATGATAGATGGACGATGGTGCGATGTCCGTATTCCTAATAGCAAAGATGGAAGTTCTGCAAACCACAGAAAAGTGTTTGTAGGTAGGTGCACTGAAAGTCTAACTGCAGATGATCTTAGAGAATACTTTGGGGCATTTGGACAGGTGACTGATGTATTTGTGCCTAAACCTTTCCGAGCTTTCAGTTTTGTGACATTCTTAGATCCCGAAGTAGCCCAGTCTTTGTGCGGGCAGGATCACATAATTAAAGGGGTATCAGTCAACATCTCAAGTGCATCACCGAAACGAGAACGTGGTACGAGGTCACAATTAGTAGGATGGGGATTGGTGGATAGCACAGCAAGAGTCTACAGTTGGCCACCAGACGCCTGGCACCACTCCAATCACTCGACCCATCCACACACGGCAGCAGTACCTGATACTAAACCCTACCTCAAATATGAGTGACGCCTGTTGCACCTTGTTAACTCTTCAGATTTTATACAAAGCAGATATGTAAATAATTATAAGGATATTATAGAACAATATTGAATGTTGACATTAGTTTTTGTTTCATTATCAACATGAATTTGAAAATCTGATGATGATATTTTATTGATAGAAGCATTATTCTTTCACTAATTATATCTACCCTTAAACTTAAGGTGTGTCTTCTGGAGAATATTTATTTGTCTTTTAGCACAGAAATGCACAACTTGGAGAATTATATAAAAGGAGTGGTTTTCATGATGTTGGAGAGCTAAACAATATATAGTTAAAGTATCTTCATTTTATAATATTTTCTTTTTAAAAAGGTAAAGCAAAGGTATGCTAGTTCAAAATTTGTACAGTCGCAAATTATAGTCCACAGGCATATTGTGTATACTTAAATGGGACCTCCTGGTTCATCTCAAGTATTTAGCAGCCCAATCGACGTGTATCCCTTCACCCCCACCAGCTGTAGAATCTAAAAAAATGTTAATTATAAAAGCGGCGGCCGTTGATGGTATTAGGAAATATGTGCCAATGTTTTTATACCTTGCAGGGAGTGTAAAGGTAGAGATCGAAATAAGGATGTGTCGAGGCGAGTGCCTTGCACGTATCGTGAAGCACCAAAGTATGCGGCGGCTGCTCCCATTGCATCCCGCGTACCGCGCGTGACCGTCGGCTGCACCGGCGCTAGTACGCTGCGCCCGCGCATTGTGATAGCCACACGAGATGAGGGAACCACTTCACCCCTGAACCAATTTTATTAAACTCTGATTTAATCTATATTTATCAGTCGAAGTACCGGGTAGTTAAAACGGACCCCAATATATCTGCAAAACGGTCGTGCAGTCCCATTTTACGAGCTTGCCCTCCAGACGTGGACTCCACGTCGCAAACGTAGTCGGTTTTTGGAACCGGCGCAGCGTTCTCTGTTTCGCCACGGATGGTGTTTCTAGAAAACATTATATTTAACATTATTAGGTTTATTTTACTTATACATCACTTCACTTAATAAACTCGTCAACAGAATAATTTAATTAATTCAAAAATTCAACCTTAACTACTCAGCGTAATGCACACAATACTTCTGAGATTTAAAAACGCGTGCGCACACTTCGGATTTCGCACTAGCGAACCTATTACCTAAGTCGAAAGTCGTCAGTCATCAGTCGAAAATTTAACGCAATTGCTACCTTCTCGATTGGGAGGCGGGTGGAGGAAGAACTAACGCGGCTCCGACAGCGAAGAAAGGATATCTGTAAACAAATAAGCTTACTATGCTACATTAAAAAAAGACGTGGATTTCAGATCAAATATTTTATGTAAGCAATTTAAATGTCCACATCTTTTCGATCACAAGAGCAGTGCTAAGTTGGTTCATAGTTCGTTTTCATACGCCGTATTTCGCAAAAAAAAACTTCACACCTTAAAGCTTGAGCTGCGGACGGGCGTTCACGTGGCGGGTAGCGTAAGAAAGCTGCGAGAAGGACCAAAGCGGCAGGCGAGGCCGGGGGTACGACGCGAGCTAGCGGTACTCCCGCACTCGCGGGTAAACGGAGGCGCAGCGCCTCCGCTAGGACATAGGCTTCGGGCCAAGTCTCGCGGCTCGGGGTGCCCAGCACCGAGCATATCTTGTGCAGTTGATCTATCTCAGAGTTTCCAGGGAAGAGAGGCCGGCTCGTGTAGAGTTCGGCGAGGATGCAACCTACCGCCCACAGGTCTATGGGAGTGCCGTAGTTCGTGTCGCGCAAAAGCACTTCAGGGGCGCGGTACCACCGCGTCGACACGTAATCGGTGTAGGGCGGCCTCGAGCGCACTTCGCGCGCAAGCCCTAGGTCGGCGATCTTGACGAGGTCGGAGCCGGCGCAAAGCAAATTTTCCGGCTTGAGGTCGCGGTGGAAGAAGCCGTGCCGGTGCATGTGGGCTAACCCTTGCAGTACCTGATAAAGTATATTGCGCACGGCCGCCTCCGCGAACGGTCGCTCGGCGTCCCGTATCAGTTGGTACAGGTTTCCACGCATATACTCAAATACAAAATACAGTGTATCGTTCTCTCTGATGACCTCGCGTAATTTCACAATGTTCGCGTGGTTGAGTTTCTTTAATGACTTGACTTCTCGTAAGCTCATGGCTTCATCCCAAGAGTAGTACTTTCGCTTCATTCGTTTGATCGCGACTTTCTCACCAGTGTCCCTGCGCTGCGCTAACGCGACAGAGCCGTAGGTGCCGTCGCCGAGTTGCTGCAGCACCAGGTAGCGATGCATGATTCGCGCACCGGTCGTACACTCGGACTGCACTCTACCGAATCATAATGTTTCTACTTGACATATAACTAATAAAAAAGTGACATAAATGAAAGGCTCTAATCTTAGTGGTTGGCGATTATAACAGAGAACGTTTTTTTGTTTGATCTTAGTATAAAAATAATTCACGAGTAGCCAAAATCATCAATAGTGCTGTTGCCATAGCAACGTAATACCAAAACATTGAAAATACATAATTACGTTTTATTATTATATTAGATTAAGTTTTTACATTTTTATTTAAAAAAAATACATATAAACATTAGATAATGTTTTATATGTAACTAATAGTTCCTTTACCGATCACTGATATTACGATATCACTAATTGCTCGCTAATTGTTATAAAGAGCAAAGACGGTAAATTTTCGCTAGATGGCGCAAACAAAACAAAATATCCCGACTGTTGAATCGATGTATATTGAACCGAACCCTTTCATTAAATTTTCAACATATTTAACCCCAAAGCTTCTAATAACATAACAAACAAAAGATAACGATTTCGTAATTCGAATCGCATAAAACATTTTTCATCATAACTCCAAAAGATATACGTATTATACATACATATAGTTTTATGCTTAAAGTCCATTACTACAATATTATACTACACTAATATATATATATTTTTTACCTGGTTATCATTTATTTATTTAAAACCTTTATTATTTATAAAACAATAAGAATAAAAACGTATGAACTAGCGAAGGGAAAACAAGTTGAAAAGAAAAAAGTGTTGTTTTTAACTGAACTATCTAAATCAGCTACAAACAATCTTTAAACGTATTTTTTGTTTTAGAAATTATAGCGCCTTAGAATTTTTTTGCTTTTTAGTTAAAATGAAGGGAAAACCTTAAGTTTATCTTAGTTCTAGAGAATGAAGCTATACAATTTATATAGCTTCATTAATTAGATTATAAAGCTTCATTCTCTAGAACTAAGATAAACTTAAGGTTTTTTCGTTCATTTAAACTAAAAAGCTACAAATTCACAAAGAAAATTCGATAACATGCACTTTTGCTATATATTTTTATCAGGCGCTATAATTTCTAAAGAACAAAAATCGTTTAAAAATTGTATTTTAGCTAAACACAATTTGTTATATCAAACGAAACTTTCAAAAACAGCTAATCTTATTTATGTAGCTTTCTTCTCTAGAACTTAAATAAACTTAAGGTTTTAATTAAGATTTTTCTATACTACTAGAAATCCTCCGTGCTGTTGCACTGGGCAACGCTGACGATGCCGGTTCAAGTCCTGCCCGAGTCAAAAATGTTTTCAATTTATTTTCGACTTTTAAATTATATGGTGCCTTCATGTGCAATAACATGTAAACAATATTATTGTTTTCCAAAGTTTGTTTGTTTGAACGCGCCTATCTCAGGAAGTTCGGGTTCGAATTAAAATTATTGTTGTGTTGGTTAGAGCATTCATCGAGGAAGGTTATAGGCTATAACACATATGCGATGTGACTAATAGGAGCGAAGATACAGCGAGTGAACAAAACGGGGAATTTTTCATGTCTCTAGTTTTCACATGCGTACGCTGCGACAACGGTTCGAGATACCTAAAAATTGTGTAAAAAAGAATCATTCCCCTTTAAATGATATATGTCTATCTTTTAAGATTAACTGGCAAGAACGACCCGAACGACGGGATGCGAATATCGTGGGCAACAGCTTTATACACTTATATTATAAAGAGGAAATATTTGTTATTTGAATTCGAAAACTTATATACGTTTTTAAAGAACTAAGACACATCTCAGATATAAATATCATCAAAATGGTCTATTACGCAGTAGTTCAGTCCGTAATTGGATACTGTGTCATTTCCTGGGGAGGGAGTGTATCCTTAAAGTAGGCGCAAATCTTCCTTATCGTTCTCCTACAACTGAACTGTACAAAATGTGGGGTGTACTAGTGAGTACGTGCGTCAGTTATTTATTCATATATTTATTATTATTTCTTACAAATCATATTGAAGAAACATTCAGAGTCATACCATACGAACCAAATCTCCTAAAAAATAAACGACGAAAATATAATGTCTGCCCATCAATCTACCTACCGTACCTCGCATTCCCAACACTTTTACTGTTATCTTGGCCCATTTCTCTATAATAAACTAAATTACAACCCTAAAATATATAGTGAAAACTTATATCTTTGTAAAAAAAATATCACAAACTTCTTAAAATCACTCAATTACACGGAGACTGAAAGGCTTCTCACCCCTATCAGCTAAATCCTAAACATAACGATTATAACAAATACGGATATTACACCCATGCACACATAGACACATGCACACCAACACAATTACACTCTTATATATATAATAAAAACGCAGAGGCTCTTCTAAGTTGTAACTCTAGGTACTAAGGTCTTTTCTATATTATTATTATTGTCCAAATAATTTTATAGTGAGCTCGCGGCGAGGGGGGCTGGTGACTTGTATCACAGGTTGTTATACCCATAACAGGCACCAGGCTCTCACAACGTGATACAATATGTAAAATTAAAGTAGCTTGTAAGTTCATTGAAACACTGTAAAAATGTGAGTGCTAAATAAATAAACAATAATTATTATTATTTGTATTTTTGTATGTAACGGATAAACTCAAAAAGTACTGGACCGATTTTAATAATTCTTTTTTCATTAGAAAGCTACTCACTATCACTGAGTAAAATAGACTATACTTAGTAGTAGATTACGATCGAAATCTTTAGAAATTTCTATTAAAAGCAACAGGAGGTGTAAAAAAAATTGCCTTTAATAAAATGTCTTTCATCGCATACGCTGCGAAGAGTAGGTATTAATGATAGGACAAATGTTCGACAATATTATAGAATATTAAATACTGTCTATAGTTTACGCGAGTAGTACACATTCAAATAAAACACTTTAACGTTTTAAAACGCGAAATATTAGATATATATATATATCAATATCTACAAAAAACATCGCGAGACTTATTAGTCTAACTATTGTAGTTACATTACTATAACTATTTTTCTACATTTAACAAAGTGATAGAAATGCCGAACAAAATCAAACCGTGTTATCCATACCATTTAAACATTTTTATTTAAATAAATCTATACTAATATTATAAATGCGAAAGTAACTCTGTCTGTCTGTCTGTCAGTGCGGCTTTAACCCGAAACTGCTGAACTGATTTAAATGAAATTTGGAACACAGAACGGCAGTGGGAGTGGGAGTGTAACGGCAGAGTTGCACTTACAACATAGATTAGCTGCCTTAAATGCGCCCTTATATAAATTAATAAACAGCCTGAATAATGAAAAATTCTGCCCCAAGTCACTATTCCACGCGGACGAAGTCGCCGGGACAGCTAGTTATTCTATAAGCAAAGTGCATAATGTAGCTTTATACAGCTTATATTTTTGTAGTGAGTGTTAGTAACACGTAACTCGTTGTTTTGTGTGAGATAAGAGACTATATTGAAATCAGCTGTTTCGTGTTTGACAACAGTGCCTTTGGTTGATGTGTACTACCCGTATTGTTGGTATCGGAGAGGAAAAGGGTTTATAGCAAGACAAACAGTTTGGACATAAATTATCTTGGCGTTCGAGTTAAATCCGCAAAAAATCACTAAAGATAATGCAAGTGTTTGGGCAACATTCTTAAGCAAAGTTAAAATCTAACAAAAAGTGTATAAAACGAAATAAATTATTCCAACGACATGCCTGATCAATTAAATAAATTTATCTAATGTGTGCGAAGTTCTTTGCGATTGATCCAGATGGCGTTCGATGACAAAGACTGTAATTTTCACTTGCATAAAAATTGCCCAAAAGCAGTAAGTCCAAGTTCGAAAAAATGCTACAAGCCGCGTCTGAAGAAAAATCGAGATTATGTTGCTGCTAGCAGCATACCTCATAACGATGCGACTACGCCCGGTGATATTGGTTCTTTAGCATTATCAAGTGACGTCGTCGCTTCATCGTTCGAGGAGTTAAAAGATCAAATCTTATCCCTTCGCACGATTATTATCGACTTCAAGTCAGAAACATAATCTTAACTCACTAGAGCAATTGCCTCCTTCACAAGTATGAAGCAAGATAATATGGAATCTAGAATATCTAAACTGGAAGAGAGCGTGCTTCAGCTGGGGGCTAATAATCAGCATAGCTGTGAAGTAAACGGTGAAGTAGAACTATTGAAGAGACGCCTGAATCAGTCTGAACAGCAATGCCTCATGAATGATGTGGAGATCGCGGGAGTTTTCGAGGCGAACGGCGAAAATACTGAGCACGTCGCGATTTCATTGGCTCAAGTATTAGAATTATTTGAACGTCTCGTGTATAAAAAAAGAATTGCTTATGTGAAAGACCTGTTTGTGAATTACTTTGTAAGACAATATGGTAAATAGTAGAGAAAGGTTAAAGGTTGGACTCTTGAATCCAGGGTCACTAGGAAGGTGGACATACTAGCCGTAAAGGAGACGTGGCTTCGGGAGGAAGAGACGGGACGCGCTCCTCAGGTGACAAGTTACAGGCTTCGATATATTCCCCGCCCACCGTCGGTTCGCACTCGCGGTGGAGGCGTAGGTTTTTACATTAATAAAATGATGTCTGTTCGTTTATTGTCAGATCCAGCTGTAAATCTAGTTGTGTGTGATAACAGATGTGGGTGAGAACTTCCATTCGGGGCAAACTGCATATAGACCGCCTTGGTTCGATGGACAGCTATTTCTTAATAAAATAAAAATGCTCCGGTGTCGGAAGTGGCAGTCGATCACATAAGAGATTTAAGCATGACTGCTTGCGTTTGTATTTTGTACTTTTAACATAATTAAGCAAAAATTTTAACCTAGTGGGATCTCGTTCCGCGCTTTAAAGGATATTAATATGGAGAGTTGTAATAATACGCTTTTAGCTACTTCTCGGGAGACAATTCGGCATTTAGCAGACGTGGACAGTAAGATCTATTATCTTTTTACGTCTTATCTCAGCACATTATTCGATTTTTATGCACCTCGTAAATGGGTTTTTGCTAGACAACGTCACTATCCATGGGTGACATATAATTTAAAATGTATGATGAAGACCCGCGATGAAGCATACATTAGGGCTAGGAAGAGTAAATGAGAATCACATATTAATCATTATAAAGACCGCAAAAAAACAGGTGAATGTGGCGCTATTTATCGAAAATAAACTTTATTTCGATAAATATGTAAATAACTCCATTAACCAACAAAAAAACCTATGGATACACATTAAGGCTCACGCACGAATTAAACCTCCTAATTTAATTTAATTTTATGGTTTTTCACCAGATGCAGCCAATTGGTTTAGTACTGTCGCTGTAATACGAGAAGATATGGTACGACTACGATTTCTCTCTCTATTTTGGAACCTTTTATATTTATTCTCTATTCAGCAGATATTGAGTCACACTTAATACACTGTCATTTCCATATGTATCCTGATGATATACAGCTCTATTACTCTTTCTACTTCAAAAGCTATTTCTGACGTTAATTCGGATTCGTCGAATTCTCTTATTCTAAATCCCACAAAAACAAAAATTTATGGCGTTGGGATCACAAGATCCAAAATATTTCGCCTATCATTATCCATTTCCATAAATAGCCAAGCCAATGTGAACGTGGCCATGAGTATTGAAGTCTGCGTATACTTTTTGACGAAAATCTTCGATTTGAAAACCAAATTTAATTATGAGGATGCTGTATATGGGCTTAGACTCTTCGCGCGGTCACATACACAGGGTATAAAATGCTTGCATCCGATTTCGTTGGGGTATACCCCCCGAAGCCATATAACTTCATATATTGTCAAGGCGAACATACTCAACATGGAAAACAGGAGACGTTTG